GCCCTGCATTTGTCAGATGCTATTAAACAGCAGGGAAAGAGAACAGAGGAGCTGGTGTATCTGTCACATCCCGCTTGTTCAAAAGATTATTGATGCTGCATAATTCATCAAAGCATGACTGACCTAGTGGCGGGTTCTGCTGCCAGAGGTGTCCAGTTACTGCTTCTGTTGCAGCTGCCCATAAAGCTCCTTGTTTGTGAAAATAACCTCTGACTTTGTGTCTGCCCATGAGCCTTTCAATTAGTACACGTACAAGGATCACTCTTGCCTTGGACTCAGATAAAATGTGAAGGTCCTGTTCAGTGAGAAATGCTACAGTTTTGCCATTTCCTTGTGTTTTGCAATGTGATTGAAGTAGGGAAGTACGGATATTTTCTGTGCAACAACAATCCTGAGAAATTTTAATTGGAAATATTATAGTGCCTTTTTATTCTGACATTATTTATACACTGTTTTGGGATTATTTTACATTCCCACAGTTGAAATATTTTGATTGATGAACAGTGAATAAATATGCTGTTTGTAATGTTTGGTTTTAAATTATTTCATTACTTCCTAATAGCAGTAATTTCTTGATAATGAAGTACTGATTGATGGGAGTTGCAGTTCAGAAGCTCGGCAAATTCACCCTGAACCGCTCCTGTTGTCTGATTTATACCTCTAGTACTGCATCATGAAAATTGGTCAAATGGAATTTGAAGTCTTACTGATGTAGAGATAGAGGAATCTGGTCTGTAAAGCATAAGACAGGTTCAGGTGTTGATTCTCATGAAGCAGCATGCTACAGCAGAAAATAAAAAAGGAAGTTTGTGTTCCAGTGTTCTGATTCTCAATGCAATATTTCTGGTCAGGGAAAAAAAAAAATGTGTCAAGTACATTTAGGTTGGCTATTTCCTCTATGTTTCCCAGATAGAAGATTGAAAATGTACATGGCTAGAAAATTGAAAATGTCTGCCACAGTTTGGAAATGCTCTTTGACATGCACAAACTAGGACCAGGAGACAATCTGCCTAAAATCTCACTTCATTACAAATTCAATCCTATCTTACCAAACTTACCAGGTTTCCTAGACCATGTAGACAACTCTGCATTAAATAACTCCTGGTAAGTCTGAGAGTTCTTTAGGTTCACCCTTTGTTTCACCAGCACAGGGTGAGGAGAGACATCTCAGAGAGACAGGTATTTGTATCCTTCCTAAGCTCTGCTATGGGATGAGTTTAGTCCACTGGAGAAGTCTGCAAAATCAGATCTCAACAAGGGTGCTGAAGAAGACTACTGAAATAAAAAAGTAGTTGGAACACTGCCATCAGAAGGAATGGGTCTTTGCCCAGGGCACCTCCAGAGGGAATGCAACCTGGGTATGCCACAGTGTAAGGGACCAGACAGTCAGGTCACAGCCAGAGATTTGCTTGAGCAAGATGAGCAAGAGACCTAGGGCCAAAAAGCAAATGAAAGAGGAAGACTTCTCTAACCTAGGATTATGCAGGTGCTGTGGAAGAAAACTCTAGGGACATTTTGCCTCTTGTGTGGGTTAAAGTTAAATGCATACATACTATAGGGAGAAGGAGTGTTAGATATAGTTCTCCATACCTGCAGATGAGTCTGGCTGCTTCCCAGCTGCTGGGGTTGTTGTCCTGACCCTAGCCCCGCTTGTGCTTGCCTTGCGTCAGGAGCCCTGCCTTCCCAGCCAGCAAGAGTGATACCTGAGTCCTTATGGCACCTCTCAGGGGTGGTGGCTGGCAGGGGACAGCCACTGAACCCATTGCTTTCCACTTCACCCATGGGTATTTGTGCCACTAGGTCACAGAATCATAAAGTTATTTAAGTTGGAAAAGCCATCTAAGATCATTGAGGCCAAGTCCAGGCAGCTTCAGTTTTAGAGAAGTCAGACTTGACAGGACCCACTGCTTTCTCTCAGATTGTCTTACTGATGAAAAATGTCCTGGTTTCTGGGCAGGAAGAACCACAGGGCTGGATTGCCATTCTGCTTTGCAGGACTTTCTTTTATCTCAGCTCAGCAATATCACATCAGCAACAAAATAAAAATAATATGTTCAGAAGAACCTATACAATCATAAAATATCAGGGCCACCTTCCACTCCCAGCTTTAGGAGGTGAAGAGTAACAGCTCCACAGCATTTGGGCTGACTGACTGCTTTAACCTCTCATGGGTGATTAATAGTACCAACAGAAGAGTAAAACTTTAGAATTGTAAATACTCTTTCGATCCTGGTAGTAATTACCTCTTAGCAAAATTAGTGCTTTGCCAACTCAAAGAGACCTAATCCCCTTCTGTCATAGGAAGAGAAAAAATGTAATAGCTGTGAGAACCGTGAAGCTTATTTTCAAATAGATGCCTCAGCATTTTGATATTTTCTGTGGGATTAACTAGTAACACAGGAAGGCTGATACACATGCAGAGCTTTCATTTGCTTCTGTAACAATTTGCCCCAGGGCAAATTGAACTGCGTCATGAGAAATAGTGTTGTTTCTCCTCCTTTGTCAGATGAAGGAAAAAGACTTGTTAGCAACATAGAAACAATTTGCAACTCTGAGGGAAGGTTTCTCCTTGCCTCATATATCTGCTTAAGTTTCTGTTTTTCTTACCCAAACAGAAAGGGCTGCCATTTTAGAAGCACAGAAGCCACGTAATGAAACATGTTAAAGCATCTGTGCTAACATAAAATAGGACCGAAGCTCTTTCTGTACTGATCTGTTGCACTCACAGAGTTGCTGCTAGCTCAAACAGAACTCTGGCTCCTAGGGCTGGCTTTGTGCTGTGCCTCTGAGGCTGGTTCTGTGAGCATCTGGTGCTGACGGGCACAGGCAGTGATGGCTGCAGAATACTAATGCTGCCACTGGCTCCCACTAGGCTCCACTTCTGAAAAATGCTTCAGCCATTCAGCGTCCATGCACCATGCTGAGCAGCAGGACGGTAGAAAAGCCATGCTCCGGGATTTTTTTTTTTTCAATGCAGAGCAAGAAGCCGACAGAAATGATGGCTCTGTGCTTCACATTGTTGTGCCCAGGCTTCTTTCAGAGCTGCAGTCATTTATATGCATAAATATCAAGCCTGTCACTTGTTGCAGGCTTTGATAGCATTTGTATAACAAAGGAATCAGAGAGAGAAGAAAGCTGAACATCTTCTGTTCCTTTGAAATAGAACCCTTATAAAAGCCTTAGAAAATGAATGACTGTGTCGTTATCAGGTTTCAGGTTTTATTAGATCACTAACTATCCTCTGCAATTTGTTTTCCTTCCTGTTCTGCTGTCTGATGTAGACGACCACAGGAGGATCTCCCCCGACACCCGTTTTGTCTTTCTCCCACACTGTGACTACCCCCAGGGGGTATCTCAAAGAATTACCTACCAGTAATAATTGCCACAGGAAAGCCTCTTGCCACATACTGACCCCATTTTTCCTTTTGCTTCAATTTTTTTTTCTTCCATTAGCTATCTGACAAAGTCACTCCACATCACCCATTTCGTGCAGAGATAAAAGAACTCTGCTGTAATTGTATTTCTGATTACTTACTTGGTTTTTCTTTATCTCCCCTAGGCAAGATGCACTCTTGCTATTTGCTCTGCATACCATATCTTTCTGCAGCTTCTAAATTGAGGCTGACATCGTGTTTACCAGTCATCTCTGTCTGCAAAGCTATACAGTTGCATCTAAATTTTCTCTGGGTCTTGCAGCTATCCTATATTGAAAGACAACTAAAATACACTACTCGCACAAAGCTACTTTTCCATTAAAGCAATTGGTGAAGTATCACAAGAATGTTGTTCTGATGCCAGGAGGGAGGAGGGAGAGGTTTGTACTGATTGCTAATAGGAGGGGGAATAGCCTTTGAGACAATCCCCTTATTAAATGTGGTCTGCACAATGAAAAGCTTGGGAAGCTTTTCTAAGGCTTCTCACATTTAGGCTTTGTGCCCAAGCTCAGGGTCTCAGACACGGAGGTGGTTTCAGAATACCACACAAGGGGAACCATTTCAGCAAAAATATCAAGGTTACTTGATTAATTTATTAAACTGTCTTGGATCACCATTCCTCTTTTTTGGCATATAACTCCAGCAGAACAAAGTAACAATTTCTCTCTAGACCTCTACCCAGTCATTGGTCTGCTGGGCTCTCAAAGAATTTCCAGGGACAAACAAGAGATAAATCCCCTCTGAACATTGCCAAGGTTAACTAGAAGTTTGTTTTTTCCCCCGAGTAAGTGTAATTTTTTGTGCCTACTCCCTTTGCAGGTCTTCCCTAATCTTAAGAAAACCTTGATGCAGTAGTGTTACAGTCCTGATAGTCTGAAGATATAAACAGTGTAGGATTTGTAGGGACAAGTGATATATTTTCCTAAAGAAGGGTGTGTGTGTCTGAAGGCTTGCCTGCTTTTTTTTTTTTTTTTACCAGCTGTGTCAGTTGGTCTAATAAAAGATATTACCTTTCTCTACAAACATTGCCTTACTTACCAGAAACGTTGCCTCCAGGACATAAAACACTTAACTGTGTGTCAAACTTCAGTGTCAGGGTGGCAGAGTAGAATTCAATGGTGTGATTTCTATGCCCTGAGCCAGTTGGCAAAAATGAAAGTAAGATAGGATGAATGCTCTCATCATTCTTATCATCTGCACATCATTATTGTCCCTTACACCTCCACTCCACAGCAGTATTTTTGTCTTTCCTACCTCTCAACTGTATGGAACAGGTCTTTTCTAAGAAATAAATGCATGTTGACTAGCATCTTCTGGATGTTATCTCAGAGAAACAGCAGCTCTTATAGTATGCTTGATGAAACTTTTCTCTGCCTTCTGATTATTTTCTTGGTTGCTATATCACTGAACTTTTTTTGTTGTTGTTTACTACAAGTGAGATTCAGAGAGCTGGAGAAAAAGAAAAGCCCACGGTGACTGAGTAGACTGTTTCTCCTCTAAGGATCACCTAAGTGTTGTAACTTAGTTGCAAATCTTAAAGGATTAATATTTTTTTTAATATTTCAGGTGAACTTTCTGTGGAAGGCATACAAGACCCATTCCTTGTTAGTGTACATATTATTACAGACCCAGGTGAATCCATGACTCTTCAGCAGGCCATTGATAAGCTTCTAGCCTGGATCCATCCAGACCTCCAGCTGTTTCGGGTCTCAGAAAGACGAGTGCCCAGGAAGCGCAGGAAGCCGGTCAAGGCTGGTGTTTCTCAGCCAGCCCTTGCTGTCATTCTGTTCCTGCAGGAGGAGTATGGAGAAGAACCCATCTTGCAGCTCCATGAAACTTTTCAGCGGCCACCTTGGCATTACCACCACACAGAGCTACTGCATGGGAAATTCCTCCCTTACATGCCATGCAGCCAAGACTTTTACACTTTGGCTCCGGAGACTCCTCTGTGGGCCATTCGCCCAGTGCACTACGGGAAGGAAATGATCCGCTTCACCATATACTGCAAGAATGAGAATTTTGTGGACATTTTGAAATTGTATGAGTTAATATTGAAAAGACCAATGTGTCAGAAAAAAGCGGACTTCTGTGTTTTTCCTGTCTATTCTAACATGGAAATAGACATCCAGTTTTCTCTGAAAAAGCTCCCGAAGGGACAAGTTCCAGTGAGGACAGAGTCAGCCGTGCTGGAGTTCAGAGTAAAAGACGTGGGGCAGCTTGTGCCTCTCTTGCCCAACCCTTGCAGCCCCATCAGCGAAGGCAGGTGGCAGACAGAAGACCACGATGGAAATAGGATCCTTTTGCAGGTAAACTCAGTACACAGGGAAATAGAAGTACATTTCTTGGTTTTGTGCAGGAAAGCTTACCCTGCACTGGCAGTTGCCCTTTTTTTGGTTGGTTGGTTTTTTTGCTCTATCCTTGGAGCAAGAGCCAGGACAGTACTGCTGAAAAAAATCTGAAACACCTTGCTGTGTTGTGTAACTGATAACAAAAGCAGTGAATGATGTTAGCCAGATATCAGTCAGCCTCAGTTTATGCTAAGAGTGATATGAGATGAGATAGCAGTTTTTAAAAATGAGGAGAGGAGGAATTATGAGCCCAAGTGGAGAAATCATGGCTGGTGAGTGTAGTTTAATATGAAGTATGGGCACAGAACTGACATGGAGTTTTAAAATAGCCCTCAGTTATGAGACTTTTATGGAAGACAAGCAGAAGTCCTGATGGTACTCATTATTTTCTAGCATCACTGGGTGACAAACTGCATCTCTCTTTTGCACAGTGATTATCAGGATGAAAGAGGTGATGAAGGAAAGGAAATGCATCCTAAAGAGCAGCCTAAGAGAGACATTCCCACAGACTCTCTTTTTGAACTAATCTCAAGTGCTCATGACCGAATCCTGAGAGTTTGTTAGGACATCTGTAGGCACCATATCTGGGCAATCTATCAGCATTCTCTGCTTCACTACACCACATCCAAGAGAGATAAAAGGATAAGCAGCAATCTCCTAATAGCTGCCCTGCAGAGGGGTATCTGTGGCAATCCAGAGCCAGGTTAATGTGCATTCTTGCGCTGCAGAGGTATTTATTGCTGCTTACATTAAAATCAAGGAGCACAGTCCTTCCCCTTTATAAGGATGTTGTTCAGATTTCAAAGGGTATTCTTTTGGAGTGAATTTCATTCATGTGGCTTGTCCAGTTGCCTGAGATTGTTTCTGTGGAAGGCACATTATGGGTGCCATCCTTGCTCCGTACAGACCTACAGCATGCAGAGAAGTGTGTGCAACCCTGTGTAGCACAGTGCTTCTGGGTTTGTAGTTCTTGGGACCGAAATTCCAAGTAGACAGGACATCTCTGCTCTGGTGAGTCACATGCAGGTGGTAGTGGAACCTTTTGGTGCTGCTTTGCAGATGCCACCATCAGAGAAATCCCATGCCAGAGCTGAAGAACACTTGTAAAGTGCTGAGGAGGACAGTTTCCTTGCCCATCTGGCAAGACAGTCACCAATTTGTCAGGGTTACTGATTGCACTTCAGGCATATCTGTGTTAGACTAAGTTGCAAACTGAAGCTGCCATGTCATCACCAAACCTGTACACAGCAACTACAATCACCCTGTTCTTTCTCAGGAGGTTTCTGCTATGTGATATAACTTTGGTTTATGGGACCTTACACTGGTTTCAAGCAAATTGAAGGGAGGAGTAAAAACAAAAAAAAATTAGGGCTTATAAATAGGGCTTTTGGTTTAAACTCAGCAAATTTTCAGAAGTAACAAATGTCAGGCAGTACAGAGGTAAAGTAAGACTTGCTGAGCAAAGGAAATCAAAATGAGATTTTAGCCATATGAACCAAAAGAGAAGAGCAGAAACCTGCCTAAGTATGGTCTGCAAATACAATTTATTTTTACTTCTGTTTTTGGTGAGGATGATGATTCTGAACAGGAGGACAAAAAGGCAAATGAGAATGAAGTTACAGAAATGGCATTTATCACTCTCGAAGTTTGGTGAAGCAAAAGAAGTTTAGTATATGCAAAGTGGAAGGAAAACAGAGACTTTGGATCTTACTTATGCTGTTTTAAAGTTGTGAAAATTAGGTCCTGCTATATGGGTTTTAAGCAAATCTGTACAATAGAAGTGGATCTCTAAGGCAAAATCAAAGGGAAAATTTCCTGTTACTCAGATACCTACAGCCACCAGAGCAACCTGACCATGGAAAGAAAATTGTATTCTCTGGTGGGTACCAGAGTTACTATGCCATAGGAAGGACAGGAAGTTGCACAGGGTCCCAAGGGCCACACCTGTCTTGAGCTCTGGACTCCAGAAAGGTGACCTCAGAAAGGTGCAGGGACAGGGAAGGACTCACCCCATGCAGAGGAATGAAGAGACAGTCCTGCAAATGGAAACTGGAAGAGTAGGGTCACCTGAGCCCAACCAAAGTAAGTCTGAAGGGAGCTCTGACTTGAAGACAGACCACATGATAGACAGCAGGAGCAGGAAAAGGCTAATTTACTCAATGATTGTTTTGATACAGGAACAAGAACCTTCCAATAAAATAGATTTTAATACATATTCATAGCTAACTACGTAACAGCCACCCAGCAGGTGCAAGCAGTTTAATACCTTAATTTAAGGCAGAATGGTCAGTTAGGGAGAGGAAATGATAAAGCTGGGATATAGGAAACATTGGATTTGGTGATCCATGGACTACTTATATTCATTTAATTCATTTTAAGTTCAAAGTAATTATAGTAACTACCTTTTAAAGTAACAAGACTACATTTTGACTTCTTACAGAGAGTTGCTATTAGCAATATTATCCACCCCCAGCATTGATGATAACTTTGATTTCTACCCAGTTATATAAACTTAAACAATGACCTCTCAGTACTTTTCAGTCTCCATATCAGTTGACAGTAATCATCAGAATGGTTTTGTTTACTTTATACAGACACTGCACCTTTTTAAAAATTGTACCAAAAAGGGTTGATTAACATCCCTGTTAAATTAGAGGCAGTGTTTAAAGTTTGAAGCTTGGGTATACTGTCATGTTTAAGCTAAAGAAGTATGACCTCTTGCTTGTCCTGACAGGGACTTGGATACTTTCCAGCCAGATTGATCCATGTTCTTAATCCATTTTGCAAATGCAATTATCAAGGGGCTTAGATAAAGTCAGTTCAAGAGACAACAAAGTTATTCATGGGTAAGATAAATCTGTTTAATGCCAGGAAACTATTCCTTCATTTGCAGGTAAGCCCTTCAGAATTATTTTGTCACAGTAGCTTTTACACATTGGCAAGTTGCTCCAAGGTTGCAGCTATATAATAGCTGATGTAAAGGATCCAGGTGGCTGGAGCAGGAGCAGGGGCAAGGCTTAGTAACATGACTGCATCCGATGGGAAGGCGCCCACACTGCTTCACCAGAGCTAAGCCCAGAAGCAGAAGCACTGGGGAGCACTGGGGAGCATTTGTCAGAGTAGTGGAAAGAATATGTAAATCATGTAGCTAAGAATATACCATGTACTGGTATACTGAGTATACTGCTGGATTTATAGGTCTTGTCCAGATTCTTGGCTACCTCTGGGCATAATCCACACAGAGACAGATGAAGTGCTAATCAACTTACACTCCTGGCAATGCAGAGAGGGAAGCAGGAAGGGTTGATAACTGATTGGACTGGCTTGGCCGTGCGTGTTTGGGAAGTAAGATAGTGAGCAGAGAGGAGAAAGTGCACAGATGGCTTCTTTAAATTATGATAACATCTCTGGATAGAGTATGAAAAATAAAAAAATGTTTTGGCATAATTTCCTAGCCACTCTGCATGAGATGGAACATGCAGACATACCCAGGAGGAAGGTGAACACCAGAAAAATTAATATCTTACCTAGGCAGAGACTCAGCACTTAAGCATAGGACCTGCTGCTGTTTTACATGCCAGAGAGTCCTTGTGCAGTTTATGAGGTGGCTATTTTCTGCCTAGGGTTGCTTTTTAAGGCATCCTTGAAATAACACTGCAAATGTTAACAGATCACAGCTTATGAGGAGGTAGAGGGATTATTTTTTCAGCTGATTTGCTGAATTAATCAGCCAATGTTCATATCTCTATGGAGCAACTGTAATCTTGAGTTGAGAAATGGTGTCATGTTTTGGGAGCAGAGGTGGTGGCCATAACTGACACAAGGAGCTGGGACAAGGGGACTCAGTTACGTACAAGTGGAAAAGAGAAAGAAGGGCAGCTAAACCACGGTCAGAGAAGGCAAAAAGACAAAAACAGGAAAAGAAAGGGCACTTTTTCAGAGAACAGTTTGGCCTGCAGGAAGGAAAATGGAGGTGAGAAAAGACCTTCAAGCTTGCTGAAATATTATACATAATAGTGCAGATAGAGCAGAATTGAGCACAAAGAGGAAGAAAGGCAAGAAAAGCATCCTCTGGCACAGGTTGCCCAGAGAGGTTGTGAATGCCCCATCCCTGGCAGTGTTCAGGCCAGGCTGGATGGGACTCTGAGCAACCTGGACTAGTGGAAAGTGTCCCAGCCCATGGCAGAGGGGTTGTAGCTATACAATCTTTAAAGTCTCTTCCAACCCAAAGTGTTCTATGTCTTACGACAGGCAAGGATGTGTACAGGGCACCTTTACATAAATTGTATTTATTTTCTTCTGAAAGCGGTGAAAAAGACACTTTCAGAGCAAAAATTTACTCACTCAAGGGAGGTGCCATGAACTGATTTAATTAATCTGGAAATCTAATACTAGTCACCTGTTTTACAAAATATTTTATTCTATTTTTTCCTTACCTTTTTGTGACTTAAGTGTTTAGTTGTCCTTAATGCTAATGTCTGGTTTTTGGGGGAGCATAGAGAATCGGTCCCTAACTCATATAAGAGATTTTTACTTGTTTTTCTTCAGCCTAAGGTACTTTATCCAGTCAAATTCTATGGCATACTAGGATCTCTTACAAATCTATACACCCAGCAAAAATTCTTGAGAATTAATATATTTTGTGTTGCAAAGCACTCAGCTTTTCTATTTCTGTAAACATATTACAAGCCGCTTTTCAAAGAGGTCCAATTTTTAATCAAATCTGTGCATTTTGCTTTTTTGAAATGCTGTGCTTCTGACTATTTGCCTTTCAAGTAAGACTTACTATGATGATACTGAAGAGTAATCTCTGCCACTTTTTCTCGTGTTGTTTTTCTTTCCTCTGGATCAGTTCCACTGGTCTTAATACAATTAAACAAACACCATCACACTCCTGTTGAGCAAGGCAGGCAAAATCTGGGCTCGAGATGGTGATGTCATTGCTGTGCTTGCTGGGTACTGACCTCAGCAAAGCCTTGCTGGCAATTCTTAATGCAGATAATGCTTAAGGAGATCTCTATCTGCTTTCTTAAAAAGCAGATAACTTAAAATAGACTGCAGCAACACTCACGGATTTTTTCTGTTAGGTGCCGGCAGCCCAAGTTGAAAGTGCATTTATGAAAGGTTCACCCCAAGTTGTTTATGGCATTCCCAGATATGCATCATGAAATTCTTCTGCAGCCCATTGTAAAACACAAAGACTCTAAATCCCTCCAGGCTTCACAAAGATTTGTGCAAAGATTATTAATGAGCAGTAGATTAGCGCCAGATGAAAAAATCTGTTCTGTTAGAGAGCTAATCTGCAAGTGGACGGGTTTGCTGCATATCTTCGTGGCAAGGTCTGACAAATCTACCTCCCTGCATTTGGAATTTCGGTCAAAATCAAAATCACCTTGCATTGTGTCTTTATCCTCTCAGAAGACTCAACGCCCTCTCTGGCATCTCCCTGGTGCTTGTGCCTGCTGCAGGCAGCATGGCTGTACCAGGCATGGCTCTGCCAAGCAGCAGGGAGGCAACAGGCAATGCTGAGAGTGTTAGCAAGCCGTGAGAAAGCTGACGATGAGGACTTGGAAAAGAAAAGAACTCAGAAAATATGGAGCTGTTTTCAAAGCCAGTGGCAGGATTAGGGAGGCAGAGAAGCCTCCTCCAAAAACTGAAGAGGAGCGGTCACATGGGTGCACAGTCTGTGTGCAGCACTTGGTGTTCCATCCGAAGGTGGCACAGGGGAGCACAGTCACTGGCCTTGGCACGGGACAAGGAGCTAGTTTTGCCTGACTTTTAATCCTGGCTAAATCACTGAATCCCCTCTGTGATCTCTGACATGTTAGAGAATGTAGATATAGAAAAGTCCTATTAGTCCACGTAATCCAGTTCGCTGCAATACAGGATTAGCCTGTAATCTTTATTCACTAGTATTTTGTGGGATGGAGCTTCTGACACGCTCCTCTGGTACACTGTTCTACCTGTAGTACACTGCTGCTGCTTGTACTGCATGGTGTTCTCACAGCCAGGAAAGTCTCTTGATACATTGCATTAAGATTAAAGTATTAAAATAATATATCATATTTTTGTCCATATAATGAAGTGCAGCATTGGAAAATAGGTCTTCTAAATCTTTACTCATCTGAAAAAAATTATCAAGGGGAGCAGTTCCTCCTGTAAACAGCTGTTCAGAAATAAGCAGTATTAGTGCTGTAGCTTGATCTGCCCTGCAGGCAGCCATTCTGGGGGCAGGCTGTGCTTGCTCTCTTCTCCCCACCATCCACCATTAACACCTGCCAGGCCAGCTGGGCTTGACCAGGAGCTGTGGTCCAGGAGGAAGATTACCAGCAAATACTTTGAGTGAAATGAAGTACCTCTATCTGTCTGCAGGAACATTAAAATAACTAGAAAAAAAAGTTTTAAAATAGCAAAACCCTAAAACTAACATCTTACCTAAAGTGGGTTGTCAGCTACAGTGTGTGTTCTCACTGTAGTACAGCCCAAGGACATAAAAAACAATTCAGCTAACTAACCACACACAAGAGTTTTTTCAGGGAAAGCTGAATTGCTCTCCAGACCCCACTGGCTGTATTAACTAGACAGCTAAATCTTATTTATGATGTCTGTGGGCTCTGCCTGACATATGTGTGGTAGACAGGTGGTGTGGCCTGCACAAGGTAAAGGTACTGGCCCCGGAACTCTCTGCAGTGCAAGGATAGATCTGTTGCCAAAATGATTTTGGGGATTGATTCATTGAGCATGGTGGTTGAGTTCATGTAGTGTATCTCATAACAGAGTTACTGCAGAGAAAAAAAATAGTAACTTTGGTTAATGCTAACAAAATATAATGTAGAGTGTTTTCTTGGTCAAACAGATCAAAAGAGTGCAGTGATATATCTGTTTGTGGACTTTCAGCATGTCAGATTCTTATTTCTGAGTTATCCAAAACTGTCTTTAGTTAAGAAACAGCTGGTATTTTCTTTGTGGACAAGCTTTTTATCTTGCAGAGTAATTTTTAAACAAATTGGCTCCCATATTGCACTAATAAAATAATGTTATTTGTAGAGGTCTAATGTGATTTCTGGCTAAAGTTTTGTTGACAACTGACTCATTACATTTGACTCTTTTGTCCTCAATTTCTTCATTCATATAATTCTTTATGACATTAAGGGAAACAGCTTACTATATTACACCGAAATAGGCTATGAATTAATACACCTTATTACAGACATATATATATATATACACACATACATATATATAGTATACATATGTATATTTACTCATCTACAGCATCTAAATGAACTTCTATGGTTTGGCTGTCCTATAAACTCTAGTAAGAGATCATGAAAGAACCAAGCATTTTTTACAGATGTGAAAATCCTTTTTTTTTGTCTACAGAATCACTTCAATAAAAGCCAGAATATGGCTATGACAGATCTGGGTCACTAAGACAATGTGATGTGCACTAGCAAGATGTTAGAAGCATCAGTGTGTGGAGCTCTTTTAGAGACTGGGTACAAAGAACCTCCTTAGTTGCCAGGTTTCAGCTCTTTCTGTCATGTCATATAATCTGTTTGGTAAAATGAGCAGGCTCTGTCTTTATCCATTACTCACCCCAGAAGACTCTTCTCTTTCTGTTATTATCAGAAATATTTTATTACTTTGTGGTTCTGTTTTTTTTAATGGATAGTTCACCTTCTTTTTTTTTTTTTTCTTTTTTTTTTTTCCTGTGGCTCCCTCATTTTCAGTTCAAATTTATTCTTTTTCACATAGATGTGATTGGAATCATGTGCAGTATTCCAGATGAGGGATAACAGTGTTGTCCAAAGTGCTTTTTCAACTCACTTAAGACTGCCCAATACCATGCTGTGACAACCTTGTTGCTTTAATAGCAGAAAGAGATCGGGATACCCAGTTCTTTCTCCTCTCCTTTTTCCAACTGACAAGGCCCATAGCTGAGATTATTGTTTATTCTCAAGGGTATGATCTTGCACATTGTCCCATTAGTTCCTGTCTCTTTTGGAGCAGAGATCAAGCATTGTGTATTATGCAAGAAATTCTATTAAGAAGACTTTAAATTAAACTTTTTTGAAGGCCGATTTCTAAAAGCCTCACTGAAATAAGGGCAAAGGTGAGAAACCTTATGTTTGCTCAAACACAGTCCAGTAACCCAGACATCAGTTCCATAGGAAAGCTACTTTGCTCCAGCTCTTTCTTGAGAAGGATGTTGGGTCATCATTTGTCACAGCTGCTTTCCCTGTTCAAATGCTTGACTATCTGGTGGGTAGGCAACTAAGACTGAGATTCAGGTCCAGATTTGGATCATAACCATGAGTTTGGGTCTTCAGTCTAGGTATCTACAAGCAAACAATGTGTGTCTGTAATGTCACTCTGAGCTAGTAAATAGAGCTTACAAGGTAAGGAAGAAAATGTGCAAGAGACAAAAGAGTTAGTAAATTTCCATTGAGAAGATAGAATAAGCAAGCTTGCTAAAGGCTTTGTGATGCTTTAAAGGAGGAAAAAAAAAACAACAACAAAAAAAGTAAGAAATAAATGAGAAATTATAATTATATAATATACTTTTTCCATTTCTTAATTTTTTTCTTAAGTTGTCCACTAAGGTAGTAATGTTGGAAGACAGAATATGAATGAATCTGAATAAGCCAATAGGAAGCAAGAAATTCAAGCTAGCGTAATTCAGCCCACAAGGCAAAGCTTCTCTACCATTTATTCTTGTTGTCTTTGAGGCTCCTTATGTAAATATTTGGGATTTTGGCAGGGTGGTTTGTCTTTGTTATTGCAGTGAAACATTTGCTGCAAGCATACTGACTGAAGTCTGCTTCGTAATTATTTGCAGTAGCAACTCAGCAATGGAGACTTAAAGCTGCAAAACTGCCAATTTTGTATTAATGTGATCCTCTTCTCTCCCTCTCCCAACTGCAGCAAGCACACAGTTGGTGTAGGAAGTCTGCAAAGCAGAAGAAGCAACCATATCCATCTGTGTCAACAGATTCCCACTTCACCACTCTGCCAGCCTTTCTTCCTCAGAGCCACCGGTCTGTCTCTGAGCAGCCGCAAGAAACGGGTCAAAAAAAGGTGCATCACACAAATGGCCTTGGTCATTATCTTGGTTTCTCCCAGCAGGACTTGAGAGACAGTGATCCAGGAGACTTCACACACAGATCCAGGAGTGCCTCCAGCATTTCTTGGTCATTTCAACGAAGCAAATCTCTGTTCTGCTTGCCCACAGTGAACTCCTCTTCAGCGCCAGAAACATTTCATTCCAGTGAACCATTTCAGTTTTTAAACACTGGGTCACCTGCAACCAGGTTAAAAACATGGAAATGCAGCCCCAAGCTTAACATTGATGACTTGGAAGGTGCCCAAGAGACTGATGTGGACACAGGGATGAAGCTGTCCTTCTCAGACCTGTCTGTGGTTTCTGCATACTCTGCCCTTAATGGATTTTGCAGTGAGTTGGAAGACTCTCTTCCATCACAGAAACAAACTGTCAGTAGGGCCAAACAGGCAGCCACTGGTGGAAGGCCTATATCAGCCATGTGCAATACTTTTGAGTCAGTTGATGGTTCACTGCCTTCTCTTTCAGAATGGTCTTCCAGCTCTTTCATGTCAGCATCTCTCTCCAAGCAACACAAACAGCCCTTGAGAGCAGCTCCCTGTTCTCTGGATGATCATGTTTGCCCAGCTTCACCAGTTAATGAAGAAGAATTTTACATCTGAGGTTTCTCTAACTTACACCTTCCAGAAGAAATGTGTTCTACTTGTGAATGACAGCAGAGGGTCCACCCTGAGCTTACAGAAGGTTCCTTGCTGAGGAGAAGGTGATGCAGAAGTGTGTCAAATATTTGAAGAAAATACTCAGAACCATCTGAGATTGGCATTCCCAAACTGGGTACAGTAAAGCAGTCTGAGATTGCACCCTGTGTTTTTGTAGTGGAGGATATGATCAGCACAGAGGCTTTTGCACAGCAGCACAAGGTGGATGTTTTCTGACCAGCTCTTGGACTGATGGTGGAGGAAATGCCAGAAGAGGCACGTAGTATTCCATTTTAATTTGGCAGAAAATTAAGACTAATTTGTAAACCAAACTGCTTTAACTTTTCTGAGAAATTTCCTTAACTCAGGAAAGGTGGGAAAATAAAGGGGTCTTACTTCTCTTTCACAGATTCCAAAGGCAGCCCTAAGCACAGCAGGTCCCAGCAGCACAGCTCCAGTGGGGTCAGGAAAGAAGTTTTTTGTGACAAAGCAGTTTCCTTCCAAACTTTCAAGCTGGTAGTGGTGAGGTGGGGCAGAATCAAACAAACATCAAGGTTGGAAGAGGTCTTCAGGATCATCTAAGTCCAAGTGACAACCTAGCACTACTATAATCACCCCTAAACAATATCCCCAAGTGCCACATCCTGTCACCTCTTAAATACTTCTAGACACTGACCCTACCAAATCCCTTGACAATTTATTCTAAGGTCTGACCACCCTTTCATTGAATATTTTTTTCCTAATATCTAATCTGATCCTCCCCTGGTGCAAGTTAAGCCTGTTTGTTCTCATCGTTGCACTCAAGATATGGCAGAGAGACCAACCCCCACTTCACTGCAACCTCTTCTCTGGTAGTTGTAGAGATCAGTGAGGTAATAACCCCTGAGCCTCCTTTCCTCCAAACTAAACAATCCCAGTTCCCTCAGCTGTTCCTTATCAGACTTTTGCTCCAAACATTTCACCAGCTCCATTGCCCTTCTCTGGACATGCTCCAGCCCCTCAATGTCCTTCCTGAATTGAGGGGCCCAGAACTGAACACAAGGATTCAAAATGCAGCTTTCACCAGTGCCAAGGTGTCAGTCTCTGCCCTGGTCCTGCTGGCCATGCCATTCCTGATACAGGCCAGGATGCCATTGGCCTTCTTGGCCACCTGGGCACATGCTGGATCATGTTCAGCTGGCTATTGACCAGCATCCCCAGTTCTTTTCCAGACACTCTTCCCCCAGCCTGTTGCTATGCATAGGGTTGTTTTGGCCCAAGTGCAGGACCCAGCACTTGGTTCAGCATACTGAGCTCCACAAGACTGTCCTCAGCCTATTGATCCAGCCTGTCACAATCACTATGGAGAGTCTTCCTGCCCTCCAGCAGATCAACACTCCCATCCAATTTGGTGTCATCTGTGAACTTACTGAGGATGCACTCAATCCACTCATCCAAATCATCAATGAAGACATGAAACACAGCTGAGCCTTGGGGAACACCACCAGTCACCAGCAACTAGCTGGATTTAGTTCCATTCACCACCACTCTTTGGGCCTGGCCATCCAGTCAGTTTTATTGAGTTAAGAGTCCACCCATCCAAGCCATGAGCAACCAGTTTCTCTCAGACAGTGCTGTGGGAGACAGTTTCAAATGCTTTCCTAAAGTCTGGGTAGACAACACCCACAGACTTTCTCTCACCCTCTGGGTGGATCACCTTGTCATAAAAGGAGATCAGGTTGGTCAAGCAGGATTTATTTCTCATAAACCCATGCTGGCTGGGCCTGAGCCCTTGGTTGTCCTGTACATGCCACATTATGGGACTCAGGATGATGTGCTCCATGACTTTCCCCAGTGCCAAGGTCAGGCTGATAGGCCTGTAGTTCCCCAGGTCATCCTTCCAGCCCTTCTTGTAGATGGGCATCACATTTGCTAATTTCCTGTCAACTGGGAAACCAAAACTGCTGGAAAAGGGTTGAAAGGGGTTTGGTAAGATCTTTTGCCAGCTCCCTCAATGCTCGCAGGTGCATCACATCAGGGCACATAGATGTGTGTCTAACTGGGACAGAAGGTCATTAACCCTTTCCTCACAGATAATGGGGACTTCACTCAGCTCCTCATCCCTAACTTTCAGCTGTCATTGCTGGGTATGCTGGGGGCAGCTGGTTTTGGTGTTAAATACTGAGGCAAAAAGGCATTAGGTACCTCAGGATTTTCTTCATCCCTTGACACTGTGATACCCTGTGCATCCAGCAAAGAATGGAGATTCCTTAGCCCTCCTTTTGCTGCCAATGTATTTATAGAAACTTCTTCAGAAGAAGTGTCACTCCTTCCCCAGAGAAGAGGAAATTCCACTGTATCATTTGACAGACCAGAATGCAGAAAGTGCCAAAAGGGAAACCTTAGAGAACATTTTCAGCCCCCTCACCCAGAAAGCCCATCCTGTTCAGCTAGGAGGGAGCCCTCTGGGCTGTTTTCTGAACCACTTGTATAGACAGTGATAACCTGAGTAAACCCTGTTTGCTATTCCTAACTCAGGCAATACACCTTACCTTTTTGGACTACAAACCACGAAAGATAACACAGCATTTTTATATATTGCTACACCATTAGACCCAAATAAAAGACAGCTCCCTGCTTTTAATGGGTTATTACTTTTCCGTTTAAAATAATTAATGCAGAATCTTCTTCATATTTCCAGTGCAAGCATTCTTCTTTCTGGATAAAACTTATTTCTTCTTGAATACCTCTCCCCAAAGGGAAAACAAGTCAGATTTTCTGGCTTTCAGAAGATGTTTTTAAAATGTGCATTTTTGATAACCTGTTTTGTTCCAATTAAAATGGTATTTAAAAAGAAAAAAAAAAAAAGTAAGTGAAAAGCTGCTAATATGACAGCTAAATACCTTCACCAGGATTTAAGTCATATCAACAAATTTTATTATGTGTATTATGAAAAGTTGTATTTTTGGCTGACAAGTGTCACTGATCACAGCTCTGGTTGAGCCACTGGGGAAATTACGATGTTAAAAGGTGTGTGTATAATGCTGGATGTAACCTATATATAGGTGTAAATGCTGTAAATGTATCATGATGGCATTGTGGTGCATGGAATAAAAAACTCATTTTCAGAGAAAGATATTTGCTGTATTGCCAGGTAATTTTAAGCAAAAGAATTTCTGCTTTGGAGGGGAAAAAAAAAATGTGGAAAAGCACACCATACTGTAAATAATAGTTACAAAAAGTGGAACCACTCCCCTGGCCTGTTTCAGTAAGTGCATGGTTTTTACAAATTATGCTGGAAGAAAATCTAGAGGAAAATGAGTGCAGTTTTTAGGGGAGGAACCTGCAGCCTGAGTCCAGAAGAAACCAGAGGGATAGACAAGGCTTTTTCTTCTGCTTTTATTTTCTTCATGCAGGAGAAAAGGCAACAAAATGAAGTCTCCTCTCTATAAGATGCTGTCATAGCATTTACCAGGGGTAGACTTTATCTTTTGCGCTAAAGACAATGAATAAATAGGAAAGTCTATTAAGGTAAAGAGCACAGAAGAGTATCAGCCTTCTGCCCTCGAAAACTGTTTAGGCTTTCTGCAGTTCTGGGTAAACTGTTCTCTTTCTGGAACCAAAAATAGCACCAAGGAGAATTTGTCATGGTGTGTTTACCTGCTCCGTGCTCCTTCAGACCCCACACAGTCTTTCCTCTGACTGTTGTGACCTTTAGATCAAATCCCTTCCTGGAACATGTGAACCTGATTTATCTAAAGTTGTATTCCCATGTTATTTTATGTACCCTACCAAAATATATATAAAACACTATGAAGTCAGACTAGCCACTTTTTCCATCAGCTTGCATTTCACCATACAAACAGTGATGCCTAGGACAGTCAGCATCCACAGGTTTAAATTTATGCTTCATCATTTTCTGTCCAGAACCGTGGTATTTTTCACAATATTTTAATAATACAGAAAACATTTGATCTGGACATGAAATAAAAAACGCATTTGAGCTGATGTAGCTGTCTGATCCTGGCATCGTGCCAACACTCCTGACAAAAAGCTGATTGGGGTTTTTGATGAAGAGGAAGCTCTGAACCATTTTTCTGCTAAGCCATGTCTCTGGAAGGAGTCCATCACATCTGGGGGCTGTTGCCTGCTGCAGCAGGAAGCACTGGTATTGGAGGTCCACAGGGAAGCACAGGACAGCTCAAGTGTCAGTCATGAAGTTTGTGTGTGTTATTAACCAGCAGCTCCACAAGCGTCTCCGCTCCAGATTTTGCCACATTAATCCTGATGGGAAGAGAGCCAAATGAGTGTCCACAGACTCTGTGTTTGTACTGTCCCCACTGGTTCTGTCTCTGTTCTGTTTACTGATATCTAACTAGAGATTAAAGTTTTAATTGTTTACATTGATGGTGCTTGTGACCAAATCTTGTGAAAAAATGAGTGTCCTACTGTCAGGAAAAACAGAGGTGATAGAGTACAGAAAACTTTCTGTCTATATAAAGATTATGAAGTGTGTTTCACTGAAGGTAGGCTTCATTAATTCTCTTCCCATTATTTAAAAAGGGGCTCATCTCTTCAGAGACTTGAATATGCACAAGTTTCATGGCATTTACTATTGATTTTGTTAAATTATCAACAGTGTATTTTGAGAACTTCAGGTTTTTCCTAAACTTTCTCTCCTTCTCACCCCAGAATGCACTGCTTTTGTGAAATAAAATAAAGATGAAAAGTCAATTATACATAAGCTTTTGTGTGTTCATTTATAAAGTATTGCAGACTTACAGAGTATTTTAACTAGGCTGCAAAGTGACTGCAGTGTCACAAGCTCTACGGCTTTTGGTGGTGTGTGTTGGTGGGATAATTACAAAATAAACACAGCAAAAATATTTTTTGTTGGACTCAGGTTTGCCTATGCAGACTGGGTCTTTTGATTCTCACTGTGGTGCTGTAAATAAATTTTCTCTAGTAAGGCTGAATGATAAAATAGGAGCTGTGAGTTACCTTTTCATAGATATTACATATTGGCAATCTTGCATGCTCAAATCCCATCTGGGTTTGTTTGATGTACACTGGTCCTCATAATCATCCTTTCCTCTTATTTTCATCAGTGTGTGCTGTTACCTATAATGCATTTCTTTATTCCTCCCATGGGACATGTCTGCATGTCAGGATTACATTGTATATGCAAAGCTGTGTAGGTTTGACTTTGTTTGTTTTTTATGGTTTAACATTACAGGGTTTATATATGTTTTTATGGCACTTACAGAGCTGTAGAAACATCAGGAGTTGGAAGAGGCCTATGGAGATCATCTAGTCCAGAGCATCTGCTGAAAGCAGGCGCAAAGCTGCTGAAGCCTTGAGCTTTGGAGTTAAATCAAGTTGTTCAGGACCTTGCTGGGTCATACTTGAAAATATCTAAAGGTGGCAATGTCATGGTGTCTCTGGGCAATGTGTACCATGTTTACGGCTGTAATGGTGAAGAATTGCTTCCTAATCTGCAGTGAGAATTTCCCATGTCCAAAATTGTGATCTTTCCCTCTTGACTGAGCACCTGTTAGAAATCCAGGTTCTGTCTTCTCTATAATCCCACTTTAGGTGCTGGAAGACTGTAGTTTCTCCTGCAGCCATGGTCTTCTCACTCCCTGACCCTGACCCTCTGAATTCTCTCACGTTTGTCGATATCGCTCTTGTACTGACGATCCCAAAACTCTACACAAATGTATGGATATGGATGATGAGTGCTCAGATGCCAGGAAGAAGAATTTCTGTCAACCTGATGGCAGCTCCCTTGCTTTAACTATCCAGTATCCTGTTGGCCTTATCATTGTAAGGTTGCCCTGCTTAACCATGTCTAGTTTGCTGTGTACTGGGACCCCAAGGTCTCTTTCTACTCCCTAGCCAGGAGATGCTTTCTCCTGTGCTGGTTGTACCAGGTTAGTCCATGCCATGTGCTGGGCTTCCATTTGCTTCTATTGAGGTTCTCACTGGCACCTTTCTCCAGCCAGTGAAGGTCTCTCTCTGTGAGTGGCAGCCCTGCCCTTCAGTGTATCAGTCATGGCCATCACATTGGCCAGTTTCTGTTGCACTGGCAGTGGGTAGCTCATCCAGCCCCATGGACTTGTGTATGTGCAGCTTTCTGCATCCTTGACTCAGTCTTCTAGTGTGATTAGTAATTTTCCCCTCAGAACTTTGCTAGATACAGATGCATGGCAGATACAAGTGACAACCTTGTGACTGGAGACAGAGGTTTTTCCAGTTGGCAGATTTTTCCAGTTACAGACAGAAAATTTTCTAGTCTGTCCTGAACAACTTCTGAGTTGTTCAAGGAAGGTTCATCTGTCTTTCCTTATTGATTGACTGGGCTGTGGGAGATGCCCACAACAATATCCCTTTTGTTATCTTCTCCTGACCCATGAGCTCTTGAGTGTCTCACCCTCTGCTCCCCCACAAACATGCACAAATTCGTGCCACTTAGTTGATTAGAGCACAAATCTCACCACTGTCTTCCACCCTTCCATAAAGAACCTGTATCCAGCCATGAAAGCTCTGGACCCAATTGCCTCATCATATCTCTAAATCATCTGGTTTTACACCCTGAGAGTGCCGAGGTCTTCCAGGAGTGATACTCAGGTTCAGCAGCCTGAGCTTTGGCACTGATCATCCCATCTGCCCAACAGAATGGGGCTATCCAGGTGTTGGGAAGAGAGTCCCACCTTACAAAGGGCTTAGGAAGCAGTTTCAAACAGTGCATGTGTTAACTACTGCAGAAATCACATTATTGTTTTTCCTATCAAGCTGAGAAGTCTTAAGCCAGTAACTCATTCTTCATAAAAAAACCATTCCATGCTTTTATTGATTCTTGTTACCCCTCTTGTTACCCCTCTGTTACCTTTCTGTTCTGTGTGCTTTTTGAACTAGAGGGTCCATAAATACATATAGTTTTTGGAGATTTGGATGCACTGTACGAGTGTACAGAACACCTTGAAGGTGTTTCCCATTTTATTCTGTTTCTCTCCTAGTAATGGAACTTTCTACTTTGGCTGCAGCTGAGCACTGAGCTACCCTTTTCATAGATATTTACATAGTCCTAAAGTCCAATTCCCCAGCAGAAAAAGTCAGTTGAGACCCTACTACTACTTATGTAAAATAAGATATTTTTGAGATGTAATGAATTTTAGAATTAGCTACATTGAATTTCATCTGCCTTTTTATTGCCCAATTGCTGTCTATTGTGACATTTTTTCTGTAGCTTCCCCAGTTGTTCATCATTTTTACTGTCTTGGGTGCTTAATAACCTCAACAAAATCCCATCTCACAAACCCCCCCTTTTTCCAGGTTTAAGTCATGCTGAACAATGTAAGCTTGAGTACAAATCCCTGCATGACTCCACTGCCAACCTCCTTCCACTGTCAGAGCTTGCTATTTATTTCTGCCTTCTGTTTCCTGTCTTTTAATCAGCCCTGTATTCACATAACCTTACCTCTTAAACCATCACAGCATGATTTCTTGTAAAGGCTTTGATGAAGGGCTTTGGAAAACTGTTCTTTGTTGATGCCTTCTGAAGCGCCAAATAGATTTAAGAGGTGCGATTTCCTTTTATAAAACCATGTTGACTCTTCCCCAAAAATATCCTCAAACTTCTCTTTGTTTGGATAGTGACTTGTCTCTCATCTGAGCCCAGGTGTCATTTGAGTACAGAGCAATCCTCCCTGTGGCATTCTTTCCTAGCTTCCAGGACTCGGCATAGTGCAAATTGCTAAATTTACACAGAGCCCAGACTTCCTGAGCCAAAAACTGCTCAGATCACTGTGTGACCAACTGCTACATTGTGCTACCAATGGATTTATCCTACCTCAATTTGTCAGATTTCTTGATGAATTTCTCCTAATTCCTCAGGTTTCCACAGCAGCTCAGGGCAATGAGCAGCACTGAATTCATTCCCTGCATGCGAAGAGAGACACATTTATTTGCAGCCTTCACCCAGACAGTTTCACTGAGCACTTTGTGTTCCAGAAGTCAGTGCAGGCTTCTGGGCCATGTTGCCTCAGCAGCTGGGAAGGATTGTGTTCCCCTGAGCTCAGGAACCAATGGTTTGGGAGATAGCTGTGGAGGAATATGACTGCTTGTTTTAGAAAGATTTGCAGCCTTCTAAGGCATAACTCCTGTGGAGGAATATGTCTTCAGAGGTAAATGGGAGTGGGACAGGGAGTCGGTTCAGACACTGGATTGTTTGATTGCTTGTCTCTGTTTTGGACCACTTCAAGCAGATTTCACCAAGACATTTCCTGGTGGTGCCCTTCACCCCTAGGACTGTCCCCACTATGGAAGAGGCTACATCAAGCTTTGGCCTCTCTGTCTCCAACACTCTCCCGCCAGGCTTTTTGCGTCTTCCTGTCACCCCATGTTCCCTTGGACATACCACAGCATGAAACTCAGCCTCTCAGGGTCATGCTGTAAAAAACGCCTCTCAGCTGGGCTGCAGTGCGGTCCTCACTTGAGTTCAGATAACAGCCCTGTGCACAGTGGGCTGGCTGTGTCCGAGGGCTGAACAGATCCTGCGGCAGTCCAGGGGGGAAGCCAGGCCGGCTGCAGTGTGCTGTGTCTAGTGACCTGTGGGGCATCTCTGAAGCTTGTGGACCCAACTCAAACAGTGCTGGGCTGGCCTTGGAGCTCAAGAACAGTATTCAAACTGCTGTTGTTTTTTGTTGTTGTTGTGTTTTTTTTGTTTTGTTTTGTTTTTTTTTTTAAAGCAGTTTACAGATAGACACTATTGCTTCAATTTGGCCACAGAAAGGCAGTCTTAGAGGGCTTCACAGCTGTGCAGGGGAAGGATGCCCTGTGGATGGCTGTGGCCCAGCCTCCTGCATCAAGGCATGGCTGTCGTTTTAATCAGAGGTCCTTTTCAATCCCTTTCCTCCTGAATATATGGTGCATAAAATGGGAAAATAGCTTGGTAGGTGGAGGCCGTTAATCCAATCCGCCAGTCATAAAGGAAAACTGCCGAGTTAAGGGCGCATAATGAAATGGCGATGGAAATGGGTACCGCCAAGGCTGGCCCGTCGCTGTGAGAATCACGCCGTCCCCAGCTGCGGGACCGCGGAGTGCCCGTGCCGTGCGACGGGATGGCCGCGATGCGGGTCTGTGTGCCTCGCCGGGAGGCCAGCAGCCTGCACAAGTGCCTAGTGCCATCTCGTGGTCCCGGCGCACACGAGAGGCAGCGCACGGAGCTGCCAGCCCGGGCGGTGCCGCCCCGGGGCACCGGGGACCCCCGGCTCCGGCGCAGAGCCCCGCGGCGCCTCTGCCTCCGCGCCCTGAGCGCAGCCTGAGCTGCCCGCAGCGCCCGGGCAGCGCTCCCAGCCCGCTGCCCTGCCTCCTGCCCTGCCTCCCTGCCCTCCCTGCCTCCTGCCCTGCCCTCCCTGCCCTCCCTGCCTCCTGCCCTGCCTCCCTGCCCTCCCTGCCCTGCCTCCTGCCCTGCCTCCCCTGCCTCCCTGCCCTCCCTGCCTCCCTGCCTCCTGCCCTGCCTCCCTGCCCTCCCTCCCCTGCCTCCCTGCCCTCCCTGCCCTCCCTCCCAGCGCCAAGCTGGGGAGCAGAACAGCCCAGCGAGCGGCTCCGTGACCCGAAGGGATCTGCCGTGTGCTTGCCCTGCGCCGGAGCCAAGGGCGAGGAAGCAGCCGCAGCCCACGGGGCTGCTCTTGGGATGGAGCCGAGCATCCGCTGGGAAGGAGCCCCTGAGCACGGCACGGTAAGCCGGCTGCCTGTCACGAATTCCTCTGTTTACTTTGATGAAAATTTCAGCCCTCCTGGTACGGAGATAATCTGCTAAGTATGACCCAAGTCCTGCCAAGACAATGCTTCTTGTGAGGTTAGCAGTGCTACTGGAGAGCTCCTGCTCCTTAGGTGTAATGAACCTGGGGACAGGGCTGCCCGGAACAGATACTCTTTAAGAATGCAACACATAATACCAATTTAATAATTCCTCTTCCTTCCACGAATTAACGGCCCTTTTTTGCAGCTCACATGTACTGTTGCATGGACATATTTTTATTTAAACTGGGCTGTGATTAAGAGCAAGAGAGTTTTTTCACATGGTTTACCATGACATGGTTATGAGTCCCACTTTTTCCTACTTTTGGGGGGGGGGGTTTGTCACAAGAAAGCAAAGCTTTAAGTAATCACTCTGTTCCCCTGCTTATTTGATTAGATGTCAGTGTTCCCCCGTTGTGCCATGTAAAGCTGCAGAAATGCAGCCTCTTCCCTTCAAGTTCCTCTCCCTGACACTTTGCTGCCTTGCTTTCCTTCAAGAGCTGATTGTCCTGTGGTTTTCCCACAGGATGGATGAGGATGGCAGTTGCCACTCTGCCACGTGTGCAAGGACGCTGCAGAAGTTTTGAAGAAAGGACTTCTGGGGCAGCCTTGAGGCGGCTATGGATACAACCACTGCCAGGTCTGCTGCGGCCAGACAGCTGGCCATGAGGTCAGACTAGTGCTGGGACAAGCCACCGGGACGAGAGGAGCAGAAAGATGGGAAACATCTGTGACCCTCCTCCTATTTTCTAGCCTCAGATGGTGAACTAGATTCAGGCATGTGGGGCTGTGCAATATTCCACTCTTTGAGGGATTAGGACGAGGCAGGGAATGTGGAGGGAAGCCATCAGCCCTGGGAGATAAGGATGCTGAAGCTATCAGGTTGCCAGCAGGCCCCAAGTGCACAGTGGTTTCCAGGTTTCAGGATAATCTTTGCTCTGGTTTGGTTTGCTTTTCCAGCCACTTTCTTTGCAGATGAGTTCTTTTGGATTTGTGCTGCCAGTCCCCACAAATTTCTCCCTCCCTCCCTCCCTTCTCTGGAATGAAGCAGGACAGGACCCAGGGCTCCTTTATTTTCCTGCCCACTCCTCTCTTTAACACCTCCTCACTAAATCCACTGGATTTGGCACTTACCTTGTCTCCAGCAGACTGCAAGGGGCAAAACTTTGCTTTCAGCATACCTGGGAGTCATTCAGTGACACCACAGGGATGCAGCTGCTGGGGTTCTCTGCAGTGGAGACTCATTGTCTCTTAGATATGCCAGGTCATCAGAACACTTTCTGACGATGCCATTTTTGGTAGATGGCCCAAAGAAAAATTGGCTGCTCTCTAGAGTGACAGCTAGATTGCAGCCTGACATGAATGAAAAGCATAGCAAGATGGAACAGATTTTTGCTCCAAGCCTTCTCTGCTGATGTGTTAACTTTGGCAGCATCATTTGGAGAAAAAAGTGAATTAATCTTATTGGAGTTGTGTACAAAAGAGACTGTGGGAAGGAACGGGGGGGGGGGGGGGAAGGGATGTGTGAATCTATGTTGATTATTTTGAAGCCATAAACAAGTGGCATCAGAAAAGATTTTGACAACCATATGGACTTTCAGAAGTGTGAAATCTTCTGAAAATGATGTGCAATCATGTAAGGGTTGGCATAAAAGAAAAGAAGACAAGATATGGATTGATGAGATGTACAGACAGAGACTGCAATCTGTGATACAGGAGTTAAGATTCTGGGTACATGAAAAAAATGGTACCTAGAAAAAGACTTTTTATATAAATTAAATCAAATTAAATTAAGTTACATAAGAGAATGCTCTCAAAGATAATAGAAATAACAGTCAATTCTATTTCTTATTGCCGGTTTTCAGAACTAGACTCTGGGGAACAGCAGTCTCAGGATTGAGCAACAGCTTTCCACTGAAATAATAATTGTTTTTCTGGGAAGCTTCACTGGAGATGCCACATGCAATCTGGATTTTACACAGTGCAAAAACCACAAGAGTGCAGGTCCTGCTGAGGGGCATCAGCTGCTGTGTTGGCTGATGTCTGGAACTGCCATGGCAGTGCAAGGTATCTCCCCTGATGTTCTCCAAGGGGACAATTTTATCCCAGAGCTTGGAAGTGCTGTCTGAGAGGCAAGTAGGATGACAAGAAAGAAGCTTAGCAAATTTTGTACCTTTGGTGTAGCATGTTTCCACACAAGCTGTATGTGCACGTGGCAGGGACATCCCCATGGGCCACGTGAGGGTGCGAGATGTGACACACACCAGAGGAGGTAAGTGCTGCTCTGCTGCCCTGGGGAAGCAACTCATCAGATCTGGGCAAGGGCCACCATGCTGTCTGAGATCTCACCACCTGCTAGGAGACCAGAAACTTGAGAGGTCTGGGCTCTCTCTGGGGACTAAGTTTAAATGCCAGCACTCTGAGCCTTTTTACAACCTGACTGTTTGATTCCTTTCCTCTTTAAGGTATCACATGCACAATAATATGGGACATAAATTGCAGCAAAATACTTTTCAGGTTTGATTTATAAATGGTTCTGATTTGCTTCTGATTTCAGCTTCCCCTGTGGCAGCGTTCCAGGTCCAGATTAAGGTTTGTATTTCTTGTCTTGTCGCATCACGAGAGAATGGGAAAAGCAGATGGAAGGTGAAAAACTGGGAATGGAAAACAAACCAGCTATGCCATCTTAAAGAAGCAGAAGAAAGTAGGCTGAACTCTAACATAAGAAAATATTTTTCATGGGAAAACACAGATCAGGGCAAGAGTTGACTTTTATGTATAAATAGGGGTGTATGATAGGATGAAATAGATATTAAATTAATCTGTTTGCGTAATTTGAACATTGAAAAAGTCCAGCATCTGTGCACTGTATATCATGTACACTATCCCATAGTCTGATACTTTGAGTCCTCTTCCCATTCTGCAATATTTCCATTAGACCTCAATCTTTAAGAAGTCAGTACACACACAAAAATGTTCAGACACATCTTAGATTTTTTGATATATGTCTTCTAAGCATACCCTTCCTTTCCTTCCCTTTGCCTTTCACCGTACAAGCCTTTGTTGTTTGGTGACATTAGCACAGTCACCAGTAAATTTAGTGCCTCATAATCTCTTTCCACCACTGAAGATGGTACTTGGAGTTAGTCCTAAGAGGTTCCAGCAAGGAAGTGCCACTTAAGAGAATGTGATGAACTGTGTAGAGGAACTTTATTTTGCTATTTGAAAAGAAAACTGAGGATACTTTAAGATTCCATGATCTGCATTTTCAGACTAGACTCTGGAGTGACAAGCCAAAAGAAAAGCATATCAAGACCCCTCCCCCCACTTATTCTTTATTTAATGAGGTATGGGGTTTAACTGAGGAATTTAAATGATTGACTGAGAAGTATTTGAAATTCTTGAGGGTCATAAGGATCAAGGCAAATGGATCAATCAAAAATAATTACTTTTGACACTGTGACAACAGCTAGCGCTTTCTTTTTTCCCTCAAATAATCTATGAATATTTTTTCTCTTCTTGAAATGCTGAAGTAAAGAGTCTTATTTTCCAAGGAACTGCAACATTAAATGTCCTCATATTTGACAAAAGCACTTAAAGAAGCTATAGCTGTTTTATTTCTAAAAGGAAGGAAACATTGAAAAAGAAAAATTTCTTAATTCAGGATCCATTCATTCATTCATTAACTGGTCCTTTGACACTTTTTCCTAATTAATAGTGTTGTTATGAGACCAAGCAGCAACAAGTAGACATTAAGCATGGAGGGGGAAAAGCACTGAGAAATAAATGTTTTACATTTAATTACAACTGTCATACAGAGATCATAAGTGCTCTGCCACATCTCAAGCAGAATCAGTGCATTGTTGTGCCTTTGAAGAAGCAACTTTCACCAGACCAATTCACTTTTTAACACTTTTTCTTCTCTATTGTCATAGTGTAGTGTGTGTGTGAAACAAGATAGTTTAACAGTTTAATTTTGTTTTATTCCAGAAAACAGACATACTGTTTCCAAACATACAACCTCAGGGGCTGGGAATATGACAGTGCTGGGGGCCCCAGCGTGAAAAGCAACTCTGGACAAAAGTGCACAGAGAACAACTCTAAATGAAAGATCAGCAGCCATCCTGTAGTGAATGGCACATGCCTCCTGTGTGGCTTCACACAAGACCCCCAGCCATGCAGTGTTCCAGTCCCAAGGAAAAAATTGAGAATAACCTTGTGTCACCAAGCATAGCTCTAATATAGTCCCACTTACTATGGAGAAACATAAACAAAACAATCTTATTTTATTAGATGCCTATTCCAGCCAACTTCTGTTTAAAGCAGTGCTTTTTTTCTGTAGGAATTGGCTCTGTATTACAGCCCTGAAAGCTCAGCTTGAAGTCAGCTCTCTTTTCCTGCCTGTTTTCAGCTGCATCAGAAAGAGCTAATGGCTGGATACCAGGCAGACTGCACACTGATACAAGAGAGTTCAGCTTCCCAAAATTACTGCCTCTCTGGGGAATATTTTAACTCTCTTGATCTCCAAGGACTACCATGCCTCAGAGACGAATGCATCAGAATTGAGGGGGAAAAGAGAAGAATTAGCTTGGAAAGCAAACAAACTATCCTGGAAACCAACACTTGTTCATGTGAGTACATGCTTGCCTACTCCCATGGCCTGAGCTGGCTTTTGGCTCTACTCTCTGGAGCAGTCTGAACAAAGGTAAACCCTAAGCAGTGAATCCCACTACACTCAGAGGACTGCAGGTGCCCTGATCACCACTTTAACTAAAGAAATTCTGTGTAGCTCCTTTGAGAATTTGCCTTGCGTTAGCTAAGTCAGGATCAGCAAGTTAACTTTTCACGATTCCATTTCTGGGACATTCTACTCCCCTGACTTTTGGTCTGCTATTTTCTTGTTCTTGACATCTGTATGAACATTTGCAACAATACAGAATAAAAAATTCAATTTTAAAGTCGTTTCCCTGAGCTGTAAGGGTGATCCTGTCAGCCTGCCTTGATCTAATGCATATAAGGCCTGGGTGACCATCACAAATATGACAACATTTCACAAGCCATGTGAAAAGCCTGCAGAGCTGAGGGTCTGTGAAGAGCCTGCAGACAGCCAGTCCTGTTCTGTCCTTCCCAAAAAAATTTCATTCTACTATCTTGGATCCCTACTCAAGTTCTGGGCCATGCCACTGTTGGAAGGATCAAGAACCAGAGCTGTTAGCACCCAGCATTAACACTGGGTAGGAATTCTCTTGGCTCTGCAGTAAGGTTTCCTGCCACCTCATGTGCCCAGTTTTCTCTATTGCTTTAGCAGAGGATGGACAGACCCCGGCAGAGTGGAGCACCATCACCTCCCAACACCAGTGACTCAGAGGGGGCAACTGTTCCCATGGGCCTGAAACTCCACTTTTTAATGGCAGGCACATCTAATATCCCCTTCTAGCAATGTGTGTGGAGACTCCTCCCTTGGCTGGAGACTCCCCCAAGGCTGAGCAGAATAGATTTGCCAGCAGTTGTTAGTATGGGTGAGTAGCATCAATCTCTACTTAATTGTTTTGCTAGCTTCAATATTGCTGTTTCAATATTACTTCAATAAACAGTGCACTGCACTAGTAGTTATAACTATCTGTACTGTGTAGTAAATCATTCTGATTAATGTCTTTTAGTCTAATCATTATAATTATCACCATCAATAAAATAAATAATTTATTTTATTTATATAAATATATTTGGGTTTTCCTTTCTTAATTTTGCGGTCCAAATTCACAGAAAGATTCAATTACACATATATAATCCTTTAAGCATAAAGTCTAGAGCAAAGACTGGAACCATCTCCACCTAGATTCCTCTCTGAGGAGGAGTTTAGAAAGCAAGGGGGTTCTTTATGCACCTCGTGACTCAATGAGAGCATTTCTCTAATACACTTTGTCTGGAGCTTCTCTTCTGCTTGCCACACCTACATCAGGAGAGGGCAAAGGCGGGGATCTGGTCTGGGAGGGTGCCACATGAACAAATGCCCTCTCTGAGAACGAAATCTTGATAGAAAGCCATTAAGAAGAAGCCTTCTGATGAGTGCTTTCCCCTTTCCTTGCAGCTGCAGCTTTGCACAGCAGCCTCCCCGCTGCACGTTTGAAGCTGTATCTGCCGTGGCTCACCCACACCACGGAGCACAGACCTCCCTCCATGGAGCACATACACCAGCAGATAATCCAGATCAGTTTACCTCTGCGTACCTGGCAGCACGCTACTGTGCACTGACCAAATATCAGAAGAGTTTGTGGTTAATTAGGATCAGATTAATCCCTGCTGACTGCCTGTCTCTGTGTAAAAAGGGCACTAGAGGTTAGAAAGTATTAAGTACCTTAAATGTCTACTTGCGTAATGTAAAAACTTACTGAAGATCCAGACTTTGTGTTTGAAAGTGTTGATGTGAAATAATTTACCCCTAGAGGCATTTAAATGTGCTTCTTATCCTATCAAAGCAAAAGAATCCATTAATAATTTTCCAGGATAAAATGTAATAAATATTTGTCGATGGAAAATAATAAACTTGCAGAACAGTGGAGACAAGATATCTACAAAAAAGTGCCTTAGAGATTCCGAACATTATTTCCAACTTCAAAGAATTTAGCCCAGCATATAAAGGATCATTTTTATAGCTGCAGTAAAGCTTTTCTATGATACAATTGTGCATAGTTTTCAATTTTATTAGTTCCTATTTATCATAAGAATACAGCAGGTAATAATTAGATAGTTTCAGATATACACCCATTCTATGGTACTCCCCAAGGACCCCAGATGTCTTCACAGGAAAGACATATTTCCATGTTCTTATATGCTCAAATTATTTAACACATTAGTGACACTAAAATGTAGATTGTATTTGGTTGAGATCCTTAGCTATGCCTAAGCACATGTCAAAATACAGAGAACTTTGGTACTTTTCTCTTTAAATAAGGAAAGATCCTGAGGCTGATTTAAAAACTGAGCTGATAGAGGAAGATTTTTAGAGGCAAGACGCAATAATAAAGGATCTGTGGGTCTGTGAGAAGTGTCAACCTTACACACATCTTCACATATCCTGATAGGTCATTGGGCCTTTTCTCTTTCTTATTTTTTGTTACTGGCACATTTATGTAAATATTGGGAACACTTATATAATAACAGGATATTAGCTTAATTTGAGGTCATCTGTTCTTGTGACTTATTCTCCATTTACAGTTATAAGCTTCTCACTGTGACATCACCTTGGTGGCCTCAGAAGTACCTGTGATGTCACCAAAAGGGATTATAACCTGAAGCTGTGAGAGCAAATCAGCTTCTGCAGAATAAAGGTTTTTTGTTTTGCCCTGCTAGCAGAGGGACAAACATCCACCCACCCTTTCTCCCCTGCCTGTCATGGTGGAACAGGACCATTTCACCACTCAGGCTGGGAATGCGAGAGTCGGCTGCCTGGGTAGGAGGGTTTGCTTAGTTTCAATGAACTTGTGTGCAGTGAAGTGCATGCAGGAGGAAATACGTGCAACATGTGCAAACACACTTTGCGTGTGAAGCACACAACTGTGCCTCTCTGCCCAGCTTGGGGACACATCACAAGCTGCGGTGGCCTATGCAAAGCCATGTTCTTCCACATTATTCACTCCATTGATTCCCGTTTCATCTCAACCATCTTGCCTACTCAACCACATCCCTCTTTCTGAAAACCAGACTTCTTATAAGAAGTCAGCGCTGCAACTTCATAAACATCTTTATGTTTACATCTTCTGTTTGATTCCGTCATTTCAGTCAGATCAGCAGCAAGCAGAAACTTCAGCTGGCAATGTGCTCATATGAGGACCTCTTCCAATGTCATCTACTTGGCATCATTCACTTGGCACTGTAAGAGCCTGTGATAGACAGTTAGACAAGCATTTGGGGGTATCAGTTTTTAACTTACTTTGTATTCCATATCAACAGCAAATGCATTTAATTTGTTGGTTCGTGGAGTTGTCTGGGAGGAAAATATGCTGCCGCAGTGCTGCTCCCCACTCCTGCTTTGGCTCACTGGCGTGTCTTGTCTGAGTGTGAAACTCCACCGGGCCCCATGCAGGGTACTGACCCTATCTCAGGAGAATTTTGAGACTGCAGTTACCAAAAGGGTGACATATGGGGGCAGAGATGGCATCTCACAGACTAGCAAGTGAACTCTGAACATGCTGATGCAGCACCTCTGAGCCAATGCAGTCAGCTAAGCAGCTGATCTGTGACAGCAGTCCTCACAGGTCAGCTGTGCACAGAGACAGGTTCTTATCATACATTCAGAGTCCACAGGGAAGAGACTTTACCACTAAGATTTTTATACAAAACTGCAGAAAATATATACACAGGTCTTTGGACCTCATGCATAATTTCCCTGGTGCTCCTTAAGCTGTCTTCCCTATGACACATGCATAGGACAACTATTGCATTACAACAAGGATGTGCAAAATCTTCAGTCTTCCCTCAATCAGATTTCCTTCATTTTTTTCTCTTTCTTTTATTTTTTTTAATTCAAATAAATTTTATCAGCCTGAAAAAAGAAGTGGCCTTTATTCTCATAGTTTCTCACCCCTTTTTAATTTTGTCTATTAAAAAATGCACTATGAGAACAGTCACTGTCAGTTAGAAAACTGCTTGATTTGGGCTCTTACTCAGCCTTCACTGCTGCGTGTGGAAACACCTGTCACTTCACCAGCGTTATGGCATTAACCTCATCCAGTGGAAGTGGAACTCCTGTTTGCTTTGCTTCACACCACAGAAAGGCACTCTTCTTCCCACAGCAGAAGACATCACATAACACTTTAGAAACACCTACCCTGCAAACTTGAACTTCACCCCAGCACCAATTTCTCACACCACTTATTAACTTACTGCCTGGCTCAGTTTTTGTTTCTGTCACTAGCTATCACACAGTCCTCTGTCACCAACCTGTCCTCAAAGTATGCCCTTGGGGCATCTCTCGGGGCAGGAAACATTGATTCCCAGCATGATGCTGTGAAACTGTTATTCCACTTGGAGTATCAGAGATAAAGGAAAATCCATCAAAATGTTACATTCATGTTTTAGATCCACAGGGGCTGAAGAGGACTGGGAACCAAGCGCTGCAATCTGGTCATAGCCAGCCTGTGCCACTGCTCCTCTGCTACCCAACCTGCAGCCATGGGCAGGGAGACCACCTCCTCCTGTGGAGCTGCCAAAAACATTGCTGCTAGCAGCACTTCTTTTCACCTGGAGCTGGCCAGGAAGGTGTGAGGGAAGTGTTCTGGGGGCTCCAGCAGAATGGAGTTCCATTGTAGGATTCTGCACTGTTTGACCTCCCCAGAAGGTCCGGCTGGAACCAAGCTCATCTGCTCAAACCAAGACACCTCACTGAGCAGATGGATTTCTCCTTTGGAAGCAACCCTCTAAAGTGGTCACCCTTTGAAGAGCCAGATTTTGTCCACCCCAGTGGGAGGCAGAGGCAGTGTTGGTTTTTACATGGCATGGGGATAGCAGTAAACAAATTCACTTGAATTTGCTCATCTGGGTGTTTTGTGGCTCCACAGCCATCTGCCTCCCCACAGAATAAGCTCTGTATGAAGTGATGATGCCAGTTTTTCTTATCCTGAGATTCAGCAGAACCACCCTCCTGACTGAGCAAAAGTGCTGGCATCTTGCAGTGCAGGCTCGCTGCTGGAGGAGAGATGTTAGCAGGAAGGAAGTGGTTTGAATTCAATTTAATTTCCCTAGGGTTATTCTATGTGTTAAGGAGAAATAGCACACAAAACTCAGATGATGATAGAAGGTTAAATTCTGTTCTCATTTGGGAAGGGGTAAATGCACAGTAGCTCTGCTGACAACAGGATGGTGCTAGAGGGGAAGGAAGACTGCAGGAGACTGACCTGACACAGAAAAGCTAACAGGAGAGTTCTGTAGAGGAATACTTGCTTCTTACTGGTTCTCTTTTCTCCTCCAGCCTTTCCCTGGGCCAAATTCTGTTCCAGATCACTGTGCAAAGTGCATACAACAGAAGCACAAACTGGCCAGAGCCCAAAGCAGAACAGCTCTCCCTTTCTTCTCAGTAGCCACACCAAACTAGGGCTCAGTTTTCTTAAAACACCAATAAATCAGAGAAAACTCCAGTCTCCTGTGAGAAAAAACTGGAAGTGGGGAAAGGTTTCCAAAGAAGTCTTTCTTTGCCCACAGTGCCCATGCAGGCTGTGCTTTTCCCTCTGGTTTCTCATTTCAATCCTGTGACTTCTGGCTGCTTCCAGAGCTTATAAGTTCCTGACCTTCCTCCCTGTTTCCACCACCACCATGTAGGCTTGACCCTGAGTCTGTTTTCTACAGTCATGGAGCCCCTGTCTCCCAGAGGAGTCTCCCAGACCACAGTCCCCCAGCAACTCTTCATTTGCTTGAGGACCCAGATTTGTGTAGATGGTTTGCATTTACAATCCTATACCTGAGAGCAGAATCTGGCCCATGAAGACCTTGGAGATGGAATTCTGGAGGACAACTCTCTCTGTTTCTTTCCCCCTCACCTTTCTTTTCCACTTCTGCACATTTTTCACACCAGACATTGCAGAGCCACCAGTGATGGCATCTGTCAGTGCTGGGCAGCAGGGGATGCTTCAGCAGTCTGTCCCCTTGCCCACCACTATGGCCACACAGGGGGACACCAAGGGGCTGTGCAGTGACAGCACTGGCACACTGCAGGCACAGATGTGATCTAATCCATTGTGGAATGCAGCCACAATTTATGGCTTCTTTCCAGTGCTTTCCACCAGTTTGGCTCCCAGTGTGGGGAGGTGCTCACACGTCAGGAAGCTCTTTGCTCTCTTCCTTCTCAAAGAATGGTGGTTTTCTCTGCTTAATAGGGGAACAGAGAGGTTGGGCTCCCTGTGAAGCTCTCACAGCTGCTCCTGTAGAAGTTCAGGGGAGCTCCACAGAGACACAGTGCTCTGTGCTCCAGAATGCTACCCACACACTCCTCTGCTGTGTTTTCTCCAGACATTCTCGGTTTGTGTCTTTCCTCACTTCCCTCACAGTCAATCAAAGTCATTGCAATGTGAAGAAGCACTTCTCAAAATACAGATGCTACCTCTGCCCCTTCCTGACTTTGAAGCATTATCCTGGGGACCAGTCAATTGCATACCTTTTAAAATGTATTTTCAGCATCTTAAAAACAAAAATATTGTCAGAAAGTTTATCAGTACTTTCTCAGTACCTTGTGATGCAAACCCAGATTAAGAATCAAAGAAAGCTGTGATGCCTAAACTAGGACACAGGCAAGTATGACAACTCTAAAAAAATGTCCTTAAAGGAGACAGAAACTCCCTTTCTCCACAGCAGCCCAACTCTAACACTTCTGTAGGTCCAAGAACCCTCTATTTCTGACATGGAATTTTTGTAACTGGCCTGTTTAATTTGCAGCCCCCCCTGAACTACCCTCACTTGGATAGCTCAGTTTCTGGCTGCCTGGGCTCACTTGGCAACCTCAATTTTCGGACTCACCCTGATGTGGCACTAGCTTCTCCTTGGACACCCAGTTCTCAGTTGTGGATCCCAGCCTGGCACAGACAGACTTTGAACTTAGGCTGCTAATCTGAACAGGCATGAGAATTTTGGTTCTGACCTTGACTATGATAAATGTTTATAAACTTCCCCCAGGCTTCCCCCAGCACATTTTGTATTCCCCATGGTTGCTTTGAACAACGCTGATCCAGTTTTAATTTTCTTAAGTCCTCTCTGCTTGTCTGCAAACACTGTTTTTGCTGCAAAGATTCCTCACAGTTTTCCCTTCCTAAAACAGTTGCAGAGAGGGAAGATTTGAAACAAACACTCCCATTTATAAGTCTCCTTTGTAATGAGACAAGACCCAGAACACGTTTTTCCCTTTCTCACTGAAACTATGCTGTCTTACACTACATTTTTGCCAGGTCTAGTTTTCAATTATGTCTTCCATAAATACATAACACAAATATGAATAGCAACATTCTGCTAAGTGGAAATTGAATGTTATTTTTAGGCAGTAATACCTAAAACCTTCAGGGGTTCCCCAGCTTTCATTTAAATCTTAATAAATCCGCAGAAGAGTATCAAGAAGGGAAAAGAAATGTCTTTCCAGGTCCAGAGGCTCTGGGAACACCACATGAAATCCAGTGTAAAGTCCTTACCAGTGACCAGAGCTAATTTATCTATTGACAGCTCTGACCCCTTCAAGAAATCACTTGGTGGCGTCTGTTTCATTCTCTCTGAATACATCTCCACTCCAGTGGAAACTGTTAGTGATAACTTCAGCAGAGAGGTCCTCATACAGCCAAATCCCTAAGCCCAAATGTAATTTTCAGCCTAAAGATACTGCCATTGAAATCTGTGGCAAAATTACATTTCTGCCTGTTGTATTAGACTGTGACTGACCAAGCTCTTGCACTTCATCAGTCCTGGCAGGAATGTGCTCTAAATCCCAGGATCCTGAAACAGACCCCAATGTAAGCATCTGTTCTGGCATATGCTCCAAACAGCAGAGAGAGAGGAACAGCACAAGAACAGAGTAAGAGAGGCCCACTGCTTCATTCTCACTTGCGTTCTAATTCCATTGCGTAGCTGCTCCTTCCCTGCTAAGAGTGAAACAGTAGCATCTAAATTATTTCTTGATTGTAATGCCCTTTTTCCCAATGTCTTCTTTCCCACTTGCAATAGGAATGTATATTGTGAAATGGCCACGTGTATGACATCAAACTCTGGGAAGATCAATAAGTTGAAGTTGTACGTTAATTTTTAAGCCAAATCTTGCTTGTCTTAGGTGGCATTGTGAAGCTGTAAGGCTGAACCTGTGAATATGATGAGCAGGATTTGATCCAATCACACAAAGAAAGCCATGAACAGCTGCAACTGCTTTTAAAGCAGTCACAACTACAGCTCTTCTGCTTCTGGTCCATTCAAAGTGGCCCCTTCCTCATTTGCTCTCCTTCAAGTGCAGCACTTTGTTGTTTCTTTCCTTCTGGAAACTAAAGAGTGAAAGACTATTTTGGATAGCATTAATTTAAAAAAATGGAAATAAAGACATTTTAATTGCATGGGATTTCTAAATAGGGTTTCAAAGTGGGGGTAAAAAAAACATAGCTGTGTGCCTGGTACACAGAGAGCCCTTTCTCTTCCCCTTTGTGGCAGAGGAATCAATGGAATTCATATAAAAGAAGGAGGGGGGTGGGAAGAGAGATAGGAGATGCCTTGCTCGGTACCAGCAGGTCACAAGCCTCATGAGGCTCGAGCAGGGCTTGCGAGGAAGTTGCTGACTCTATGTCCATGTGTACCTTTTTGTTCCTTGCCTTGGATTTGCTGGTCAGTGGCATGCTGCTTTGCCTGGCTCTCCATAGAGCTTGTAGCCTACAGGAATTTGGACAGAGTGGTACAGACATCGCCGACAGAGACTCTGATCACTGACTATCCCTTTAAATATAGTCTCATGACTTGGTCTTTGCTCCACTACCTATTAAAGAAGGAGACAAGACGTTCATAGGCAGCTTCCATTCAGGCACCCCGAAGGACACAGAAAGGCAAGACAATTTAACAGAGCTAACTGTGAGTAAATACAAAGCATTAGAGGTGCTCTCTAGAGCAAAGGGCATGGAGAAAGATTTGTAGGAAATCCTGAGGTGAAAGAAGGTGCAGTAATTTTTAAAATATATTTGTATACAATCTTCAAATGTGGAATTCTGTAAGGAAAACTATTCTCTCATTTTAGCATTATTCCTTTAAATATAAATCTAAGTGTCTCTTAATATAACGTTGACCAGTGCTTGATTTCCCATAAAATCTGATGTGGTGATTTTGTGCAGCAAGCACTGGAGCCTTTTGCAAATACCACCTTTTATTTCGCTGGCATAAATTTCATAGAAAGAATATCTGGGCAGGGGAGGGGGGAAATTTGAAGCCAGTCTTTTTGCAAAGTTGGATCCAAAGCCCAGCCCGGAGCCTCCAATTAGATTTCTGTACTTCATGAGGGGTGTCCTTTCTTCTGGGAATGCTGGGTGTGACCCCCTTTCTGCTGGGGACAGAAAGAAGCTGTGGGTGCTCAGCAGCATGGAGACTGCACTGAGGTGATCCATCATGTGTGCAGGTAGCTAATTTTTAACCAAGAGACTGTGTCTCCATGCTCTGTAATGGCCAACCATCTTACATGCTACAGCATTCTGGAAAATTCAGTTCTTGTTAGTCAACAGAGTCATCAGCATGGCCATACATATCATACATATGTATTTTCTCTTTTTTTTAAATGACAGTAGCTACTGAGTAGACCTGGACAAGTATTTTAACAGTGATCATTAGCATTGTAAGTGATATCTCAACACTGATGGAAAGTTCCTCTGCCAGCTCAGACTATTGCTTTTCTAAATATATATGTGCCATTAATTGCAGGTATTAGCTGGTGGAGACTGTTCCCAGCTCATCTTCATGTTGCCCATTTTATTCTCTGCATTTATCCTGTCTGCTTGCCGCATAACCAAAGGGAACTGCATCTCCTATGATGAGCTGAGAGAGCAGAAGACTGAATTTGCCATCAGTCTCTACAGGCAGGTGTCTGAAGCAGAGAACAGGACCAATCTGGTAGTCTCTCCAGCAAGTGTGGCTGTTTCTTTGGAGCTGCTGCAGTTTGGAGCTCAAGGAAATACCCTTATGGAGCTGCAAGATGCCCTAGGATACAGCATTCATGGTAACGTACTTAGAAAAATCCTTATTATCTTACTTTTTGTAATAAATTACAAAGGTGACAAGAATTGCACACATCATACTGAACTTCTTCTTTCTCTCTCACTGCGAGATGTACTTTTCTCCATCTTTGACAGCCAGGTATCAGATAGACAAAGGAAACTCAAGGGAGTGAGTAGTTGACAAACAGGTTATTATTCCTATTTTCCTGAATCAGTACTTACTCTCTTATGACAAAAAACACAGCTATATCTAGAAAAGTTACTTCCCTGAACAGCAGAATTACTCCAGGCTTGCCAGAGGTCCATTGTGTCCACTGTGTCCTGGTCTCCTTTGTGTGCTCTGCAAAGAATTGCCAGGCAGAAAACAGTGTTTTTCTCCCCTATCCCACTAACAAATTTTAAACCTGTAGAAGCTGAATTATCTTTAAGACTTTGCTAATGGTATTACAACTGGCCAAAAATATGAAAAGTTATCAGAAGGAGACTGGCAGACAGAGATATACGTTGACAGATGGATGGTGCAATTGCGTCTTTCCCTGAAAGCAGGCTAAAATATAAAACTCACTGGGAATTTGGAAGGGATATGGGAAAGACAGATGTCTTTAAATCCAGCATTAAGTCAGCTGAATTCAAGGATGCTGTTTTCATTTTAGCTCTGGATTATCCTACCATCTCAAATCACATGTCAAAAACTATTTTACATTAGGGGCACAATGTTTATGAAAAGCAGACGACTGCCTCATCTTCAAAATTTGCAGCTTACATACAGTATTTATGTATAGAGAAAACACTGCTATTTCTCTACATAAAATCTACCTTCAGAGTATGAAGACTAAAATGCACATTGTCCTACGGTCTAACCAGACTCAGTCACCACCACCATTCTCTAGTCAATTGGTATTCAGCCCCAGCACAGCAGTAAGAGCTAACTCTGGCTGATCCATACAGATGCAGCTACATGAACTGACACAGGGACAGTGCATCTAAATTATGAGCAGCTGATATAACGAAGCCTTACCTACATGACTCCTATTTCTGTAAATTCAATTCCTAAACAACATTAATTCATATAAAGATTATACCTTGCTTGACACTTCTTGTCATTAGGGGCTCAGTTATTATGAAAGGACCTTACAGAATAACATTTCAAAGTGAAATTTAAGCACAGATCTCCACAGAAAGTATAACAGAGAAGTGCAGGGGTTGTTAATGCTAGCTCTTTTATGCTCTCTTCTAATGTGGCACATCATGACAAGCAGACATTTTATCTCCATTTTAGCTGTCTGTGGCATAAACCCACGTCATCTTTGGCTTTCAGTAATATTAATGCATGAATGTGAAAATAAAGTAGGATGGGATCTATTGTTATTGGTATATAGCATATTCCCAGTAATGGGGAAGGAAACCACTTCCTCAAATGGTCTAAATCAAATAAATAAATTAAATACTGAGATGAAATTTCCTATATGATGAGTAAACCCAAATTGTATATGTATGTATATATATATATGTATATGAAAAAAATCCTTTATTCCAGTAGATGTTTGCATTAATGTTTATGTTAGTCTGCCCTAACCAATAATGAAGGATATGGTTAAAATCTTAGCAGGCTGAAAACAATGAAAACATCAATGGTTCATTCACTGCTTACAGAGAATCTGCTCTTACATGCACTTGAAACTTCTTTCAATGTTTGGAAAATTGGTTTACCTTTATTCTAGTACTGACAAAACCAATGTATAAAGGGATGTATCACTAGACTGCACAGACAAAATTACATGCTTTAAAATTACTTCTCCTTGCTCTTTTATCAAAGTAATTTTTAGCTGTTTTCCAAGTAAGAATTTGGGACTTTGGTTAGCTAAGCACTTTGGTGAAGTCACAAGCTTGGGATACCACTGCTCACATTAATCTCTGCTTCTAATTTACCATCTTTGACTTCTCACATCTTCCACAGAGCTCATCAAGTGCTCCCATATTAATGCAAAACATACAAGAATAATACTTTACACCTCAGATCATGTCAGTTTTCTTAAACTAAGAAAAAAGCCCACTGTTGTGGACTGTATAAATAAAGGAGTCACTTATAACACATGAAGCAACTTACCAGCTAGGTTTAGGATTGTCAGGGCTCATCAGAAATACTGGGCCAGTTTGGGACACAATCCTTCTAGAAATCAAACAACACCTAAGAGCCCAAGGGCAGCAGAGGGCCGTCAGAGAAATGCCTTTCCTGGGATAGGTGGATACCATAAGGAGAAGGAGGTAGTGGTGTTGTGGCATTTGCAGCTCAGCCAGTCATGGTCAGAGGCACTAGACTTTACTGGTGGGAACTCAGAGTGACCAAGAAAAAATAACTATCGTATGAACTGCTAAGAACTGTGTCTGCATAGAACTGTGAGCCTGACATGTAATCAGCCACTTAACACATCTGCACTTGAGTGATTTCTACAGACACATGAAGAGAGCTTTCCAATGCCCAGTGCATCACTGCCCGTGGCAGCAGTGCTTGACAGGAATACTCCACAAAGTCAAGGGTGCTCCAGTTGTTTTTGGGCTTTAACAGTCAGAGGACACCAGTGTCAGCACTGGAGCTGAGAGCTGCGAAGCCCTGGGGAATCCCTGCTGTCCTTAACCTCAGCACAACAATTGCAGTTTCTCTCTCTTGCCTGGCAGATCAAAGCGTGCAGGATTTCATGCGCACGGGGGATGAAGCAGTGACTGACTCCAGCCAAGGCACAGTGGTCCAGCTGGGATGTTCCCTCTTTGTGGACGCAGGTGTGCAGCTCTCGCCCGACTTCACCGAGCGTGCCACGAGCTGGGCCAACAGCAGCCTGCTCCAAACCAACTTCACCAACCCAAACAGCACCCACATACAGGAATGGATCACCACCGACCTTGCAGGTACCGTAGGGACCCACAGGAATGGTTGCACATGAATGAAATGCAAAATAGGAATAATGGGAGAAATTGCATTTAAACAAGCATAAAGATTTTTGCCTTACTCCACGTTGCCCAAACCAAGGCTGAAAGCCAGGAAACTTGTGTTAACACTCATCTGTAATGTGAAGAAAGAGCTGAAATAGGTCTGAATCTGTAAGCAGTGTCAAGCTGGTAACCACTTTGCCTTGTGCCCTTAATTTTTAGAAAGGCAATCCTTTGCAGTATTCTGTTTTAATTAGGAACAGCCAAATTCCCCTTGGACCATAGTCATGGCACTGAATGCTTTCATGGAGCTATGAGGGACACACAGGGGCACAAGCTCAGCAGTCAGACTGTGAGTTTAAAAAGTCAAAATGGGGAATAAAAACACTAACCAGCTCAATCTCAGCTCTGGGGAGTGCATGGAACAACAGGTAGCCCCGGTGAGGTGCATGTGTATGTGTGGAGGGGAAGGTAGAGGGTGAGTAATGCCTTATGAGTTGTGCCTTTTGGTCTTAAGGACGGAGAGGGTCTCAGCTTGCTTTATTTAGTCACATGGATCTGGCCTTTAGGCCTGGGCACATAGGACTGCATGTGTACCCGTCCCTTGTCTCTGTTTCATGCAGATGTGGATATGCATGGGATGACACCGGAGAGCACTGGGTCACCGCTCAGCCAGGTCACCCTGGTGAGCACCCTGTACTTCAGAAGCATGTGGCAAAAAAAGTTTTCCTTCATGGATTCCCAGATGTTGCCTTTTACGATATCAGAGGGCTCAACCCTGAAAGTGCCTACCATGCACCACACAGCTGAAGTTAACTACGGTAACTGTCCTTGATCCATATTTGATCTACTCTGCAATTTGGAACAGACTTATTTAATTTCCACAGATATCACACTAAGATGTGTTATTTTCCCAGCTTGGAGAGTCTCAGAAGTTGTCCCATCAAATGAAGGTGACCAAATTGACTCCTCATAATTTCAGGCTATCGTGAAAGAGATCCTGGGTTCAAAATGCTTCCTAAAATATCTACTGTCTGTGTCCCATCCCTCACAGACCAACAGCTCCCAGTACTCCATAACAAACTTGTCAGCTGTAGAAAACAGTCAAAAGGCACCAATACATCATGCCAGGAGAAAGAAAGATGAGAGACTGAGGGTACTGCAAAGTGCTTTACAATAGCATGGAGCTTGTTAAATAAAGCTGGCTAGGAAGAGGCTACAGTAGGAAGCATATCTGACCTCATGACAGAGGGGCAATTAAGACAAACTGTATCAAACCCTTACCAATTTGATTTGTTAGGTAAGAAATTTCTTGGCCCCTCAGCCAAATCACTGTCCCTTGAATGTGTGAGCACCGGAGGGAGCAGAGCATAACCAGGAGCACCAGCACTGCAGCCAAGTCTTTAGGGAAAAACTGCAGATCCTCAGGGATAAATTCTAGAAAAAGAAAATAAATTCTTATGTCATATATACCAAATCAGTGGATGATCTCAGCATGGGCTTAAAACAGTATAAATATAGGTCAAACTTTTATTTGTATAATATATGAATACAGTGTAGGCTACTTTCAAAGGCTTGATGTATGTGGGTTGCTGACAGAAGGACTCATGCTGCAGGCTTAATTTTCTGCCACCGGGAACTATGCCAGTTAGCTACACAATCTCTTCCAAAATATAAAAAGCTCTTTTCCCTCCTACTCTAAATTTCAGAACTGCACTTGGGTAAAACTGTCCAAATTCCAAATCTAAATTTTTTCAAGATAGATTTACATCTCTTAACATCCTGCCTGATTTATCCTTTAAGTTAAATAGCTTCTCTTCCACTTTGATATTTATTCCCAAATGTAATTGCAAGCCACCAAGTTTTCTCTCAATTTCCTAATAGCTAAGATGAAGATGCCAGTCTCTTCTAAACTATTCAAAAACCAAATGCTCCCAATTCTCTACTAGTTCTTTTTTTAAAACTTTTCCAATTTAAATTAATCTTTCTTTAAAATAAATGACCAGAAATGTACACAAACATTTCAATGAGGGCATACACGCTTGATAAAATGCTTTCACAATTTCTGTGTCTTGATAAAAATACCTTTTGCAGAGTATTGTAGAACCGGCTCAGGGTAGTTACTCAAGTTTGGCCCCACCTGGGCCTTTTTCCTTTGGGCACCTTTTTCCTAGGTGAATCAGGGGAAGGGAAATCTCCAGAGATATATAAATTCTTTGTGTGTTTTTGACCCATTTTGTTTCCACCACTCCAGTCTTCACAACAATCTCACTGTTTGTCTTTGATAAAAGTCTTGAGCGCTGACAATACTTTGACCCCTTGCAACCTCTTGTACCTTTGCTCATTGTAGTTTCCCCTTCAAGTGGCTCCTTGCTGCCTTTCCTTTCTGGTTCTAAGTGCCACCACTTCTACTGTAAATAGTGGCACAATAAAAAAATGTTTAATGTTTTACCTAAAACTAGATGGCTGGATCTTTGTCTTTTTATCAAATTAGTTAACAAGTCAAAAAAGTGTATAGCTTTGTTTGCTGGTCTACATGATATGGCAGTTTATCTCACTTTCTATTTCCCTCTGTGACCTGAGAAGAATAATCTTCTTTTCTCCAGTGTCCTAAAACTTCTCAAAGACAGACCTAAGGTTTCCCAGATTGCCTCCTCTTTCTTACAAATGTACTCCTGTTCCCTAATCATGGAAAAAACCTGAATCATCAGGGTATTAAAAATCTTTGCTGACTCATTTGCAATTCCACATCCAAGTTCTTCTTATATTCTGAGGTGGTGATCATTAAGGTCCCAGATTATTAAATGACAGAAAGCAGGATGCTGCTGCTGCTTGTAGAAGTAGAGATCTCAGGTAAAGCCAATTACCAGGAGCTCCACAGCTAAGCTGCTTCATCTGACCATATATTTGCTCCAGTCCTTGCAAAGTTGATGTGAATCATTTGTTGTGCGCTTTTGACCACTTGCCAAAACACAAGGAACTCCATCCTATTATCTTTAAGTAGGTAGCTAGAGCACTAAATTTTTGCACAGAAAAGGGAAGACAAAATATTTGGATTACCTTCCTTTCATCCAGCCTGAAACATGTGAGCTCTCTGCAGTCTGAGAGACTTTTGAAGAAAGCTAAAATAGAAAGGATCATTTAAAATTTGCTGGTTGTCAGATTTGATTGGGCCAATTCAATCTTAGTCACTAAAAAAATCCAGAAACATTGCTAACAAATCAGTTTAAACTTAATGCAAAAGACTGGCTCAGTACAGCCAAACAGAGGTCTGAGATGACTTCCTTTATTATTAAATGATAGCAGCTGTGTCCCACCAGGATCCAAAACACAGAGTGAGGAAGATAAGCTGTGGCCTGTTATCAGTTGCAGCATTTACAACATTGTTTATCCTTGTAACATTGCCACACAGAACAAACCAGCCTAGGGACAAGTAAGACTGCTCTAGAAAATGTCAACATTACTGTTCACACACACTTCTTAAACACCAAAACTATTTTACATACTCATTTTTCCAAGCATTTTTTAAACTATATTTGAATTCTAACAGCGTATGTGTAATCCTTATGGGATGCTCAAAATTAGTTCAAGCAATGAACACTAAATGTTCTGACTCAATAATCTAAAGTCTTTGATTTTCTTTCAAATTAATAAATAAGGAGTGTATAACCTTTGTGAAGAATGTGCTGACTTCAAAATATCAGCATGCCCACAAATTATACCACCCATCTCCAGTGCACTGGACACATAAAATCTTCCTTGCCTGCCCATTAGAAATTAGAACATCTTTTCCCAGCAAATGATCCACATGCTGGGAGCTGGTTTTAACAGAGCAATTCTCTCTCCAGATTGCAAGACAGGAGGGTTGGTCTAAGAGCCTAAAATTAATCTAGCAGAACAATCAACACTTAATGAATTCTCACTAGTCCATATCTGCAAAACTAACAATCACTGTACACTAAATATTTGAAAAATCCTATAGCTATGTATTTATTGCCAAATATTTAGGTATTATGAACATGAGCTATCCATCTACAGTTATTTACAACCACTGACTCAAACAGTGTGAGCATCTGCCCTTGAAGATACAACTGCTACAGCTGGATGAAGGAGGTGTAGATTCAGTATCTTGGATGGCTTGCAGTAAAGGCAGTAAGACTTTCACTTGTGCCTTGTACTTAAGTTGTATTAAACTCCTGGCTCAATAACCATTGCTAAGTGTTCCTGAAATGCTACTTACTGGATTCTCCGATGAAAAAATTAGGAAGTAAAATTGTGACAACCTATCTGTTCTACTGTATAACAGAATTCATTAGAAATGTCTGGATTAACTTGTTTTTTGGAATATGGGATGAAAATGGTACTTTTAAATGGCCATTACAGAGTGCTGTAATGCTAATTGGAAGTTTCGAAGCTCTCCAGCTTTTACTTTTGAGACTATTTTTTATGACCTTCATCTGACTGTGATAGGTCTCTGTGCATAGATTTTCAAAAATTATAAATTTTGTGCTTAAATAGAAAATAAATAAACAGTAAATTTTAAATAAGTGTATACTAGCTCTTGTTTAATGGAATTATTTTTTTCTTGAAATAAGATTAAAATTGACTTTTAAAGGTAGCAAAGATGGAAACATGAGCCAAAGTAAGTTTCAATTAATCAAATAGGACACTGCATTTTGTTTTTTGTAATTCCTATCTGTTGTAGTAGTATATTAGTGAAAAAGATAAAATTGTAAGTTTATTCAAAGAACATACATTGTGGGAAGAGTCATCATAGTTGCTGTCATTAACTTGGTAGTTTTGGGTATTTTGTCCCCAGACTGAGCAAGGGGGACATAAAATAAAAGTAATAAAATGCCCATGCTCTGTTGAGGTGGTTCTTCAGGTGCTATCAGCGGCATTGGCACTGCTCTGCCAAGATATCTGTGTCTCTGACACACTCAGCTCTGTTCAGGTGAGTTAACAGCAACCTGAGCTGGCTACAGGAGCCCAAGAACTGGAGACCTCTCCCTACATCCCACCACAGCAGCTCTGAACTGTCTGCTGACCCCAGCAAGGGTTGTGGGTTTGGGGTTTTCTTCCCACTTGAATGATGAAATAAGATCTCTCTTTGCCCACCCACAGGCCAGTTCCAGACTGCAGCTCTGGAGGCTTTCAGCGTGGTCGAGTTACCCTACCTGGGGGAGAAACTCAGCATGTTCCTGGTGCTTCCCAGCCACAAAAGAACACCTTTGTCCCAGATTGAGTCTCACCTTTCTGCCAAAACCATAACCCTCTGGGCCAACAGCTTGAAGAGAACAAAGATGGACATATTTCTGCCTAGGTAAGCAATGTTAGCACAACAAATTCACTACTTTAGCTGTCAGAATTCCATGTGACAGTGCTGACACAAGCAGTGTGTGAGCAAAATCAAATTACATGCTTTTGGTTTCATTACCCATCACATGTTCAGAGATGCTCTAACCCTTTCTTAAACCACAAAGAGGTGAGCCAGGAATTACAAGACTTTCTGGTTACATTCTGTACTGTTTTAAAAAACCTAACTATTTAGTTGATCCTACAGATTTTACTTTTTCTTTGGGGTATAAATCCTTTAAGGATCTAAACCAAAGGAAGTGTTGCTTGACCTTTCCCACACTCATTTTTGTCTTTGTCTAAGGAAGAATAAACATGTAACCTACTAAAGACACACTATTTTGTATTTTCTAAACTTGCCAGAGTACTAAAAAGGCACTAGACAAAGAGCCTGGCCTCCCTCCAGCAGCCATTAACCATCTTTCCACGCAAAAAGCAGGTTTCACTTATTCATTTTCCACTTTAGTCAGTTGTTGTTTTAGCAAACACCTATGCTGGAGGTATTTTCTACCATCTACTCCAACGAAATTGCATAGCAGGAGGAACTGGGCACAGAAGACTTTATGTGGCTGTATCTATTGTATGGATTAGCACAGAAGGGCTTCATTATACACATCTTAAAATGTATTCATCACAATAACAGAGCAGTAAAAACCAGTGTGTACATTAATATTTGTTTTCTTCAAGCTAATTTTTGGGAAATGTTTCCAAGGGCCATTTGCTATAATCAAAAATAACTTTAGAAAGGGAACACTTTGTGAAAATGCAAAATTCACATGTCACGAAGACTTAGTAGCAATCTGATTGCAACAGAGGGTGGCAAGGAATTCCTTCTGTTAATGTCTTCAGATGAAGGTCAGTTACTTTTCTGCAAATACACTTAATCAGACAACACACTGGGCTCATACAGGAAGAGATGGATGAAATGTACAGGCTTGAAATAAATTTTATGTGTTAATGCCTTTTAATTCCACAAAACTCTACAAATCTTGCATTTAAATAAAGTCTATCACATTAATTTCAGGTTCAGTATTCAAAGCCTTTTTGACCTAAAGACAGTTCTTTCTGCCTTGGGAATTAGAGATGCATTTGATCCCATCACTGCTAATTTCAAAGGCATTTCAGGTAAGAGGCTAGACCAAATACAAAATGATCCTTGACCCAATAGTTTTAGACTCATATTTGAATGATTTGCTAGACCTGCGTCTTCTCAATAGATTGTACTTCTTTATCTGTGAAACTCTAAAGCACAATTCACACTCAACTGCAATTGTATTTTGAGCTGTTTTGTAGAAAAGTGGAAGCTGAAAGCACAGGTTTGGTTTCGGTCTTGAACTTACTTTTTTCTTGTCTATAAGATTAAAACTGTCAAGACAGTGTAGGCTTGGGAAAATGGTTATTTATTCAGAAATTTAGGATGCTTTAGTAAAACTTGCATTCCTGTTTGTGTTTTCAAATAGTTATTTAACAGTGAGGGATGCTGGTCCAACAAGTCTATATTCCAACTCCTGACACTGCGAATAGTACTGGTTTATGCCCAGGCTATATATACTGCCTTGCTAATCCAGTAATCAGTATTCAAAGTTATACTCTCCCTTTGCTAAAATGCTGTTATGATTAAATTCTTGGGTTTGGAACACTGAAATTCTTTTGCTCCTTGGAAAATTTGTCTCCATTTAATTTTAAATGAAAAATAAGGAATCCACATTATTTATTCTTTTTCCTTTGACTCCTTCCAGCAAGAAAATATTTCAACTTAGTCATTTCTGCTCACAGTAAAGACTTGGGAGTGGTAGCTGCCCAGCAAGCAGCGCTCATTCTTGTGCATGTGACTGAATAAATTAAATTGCTCCAATTCAGACAAACCTGCTTTTACAGAAAAGTTGCTTTCCTGGGAACCACAGAAGGCACATCACTCATGGAGTTTTTAATGCTGCTCTTAAAATTGAATATAGCAATGTTTCATTGCAATACAGATCTCAGACTGCACAGAGATGCACATTAAAATGATTTGTTACTGCTCACCACTGCTTTGCTTATTGCAAACAAATATTAATATACTGATAAACTACACAAGGATGTATTTTATAAAGTTAATATCTATTTAAATAAGATAAATACTTTGGGGAAATTAATTCCATAAACAATATAATTTAGCAGCTTCCCTTTGGCTTTTAGCATTCAGGATAAGGCTTGTAGAAGTATTTGATCCTGCCCTGACAGGGTTATGGAATAAAGGATATGTTGAGGCTCTTTTTAGCTCTTCTCTCACATCACCATGTCATAGAAGGGTTCTATATGGTCTAAGAGTTATGTAAGGCAGAGTTTACAAGGAAAAATGTATCTTTTACTTAACCAATAGACCATAAAAAAAGGTACGTTTTCATTTTCTCTTCTGTATGAAGCAGAAAGATAATCTTCAGAATATTTACTCTCAGATCACATTTAGCAAACAAATGTATTTCCTCATTTTAGACCTGAAATAACTTTTTTTAATACCTGAAAGCTTGTATTTTTCCCCTCAAAAATGTGTAAGATTTATCTACTTTTTAAAATTCTTCCTCTCCCTAGTTTTTCTCCTGCTTGCTTTCCTCTCATTTTTTCTGACTGGACAAAATTAAGACAAATAGATAAAATTCTCTTTTAGCATTTCTTTGATTTCACCTACACATTGGACTTGATCCTTTAATTGAGAAAAGAAAGAAAAAACTTTCCAAACTTTCCTGCTTTCTGCCTTTTGCAGGCTGCTGGAGAAAAGCAGACTTGTAACACTCTCTTCCAGTGTCTTTCCGAAATTACTTCTTTTCCAAGATTCATTTTATGTCACAGTTCCATTGTTTCTTCCTGAAGAACATTTTTTTCTACATTTTCCCTTCCAAGGGTTCTTCAGCTCTTTCATTGCCCTCACTTTGTTTAAGTTTCTATTTTCACTATGTAACCTTGCCTTCCACCAGAACCTGGGGACCTCTCAAACTAGTAACTCCCATTCAGCATTCAATCCACTGTTATCCATATAATGGGAGAACAGTCAAATGCTGAAATACCTAAGTTATGTGATCCTTAGATTCTGCAGGGGAAAAAAAGGTAAAAGCATTCTGAGTATTTTTCTAAAATATGTTTGTAATAAAATGCACTAATTTTTGGGGTTTTGCAGAGCAAGATAGTCTTTATATTTCAGAAGCTATTCACAAAGCAGAGATTGAAGTAACAGAAGATGGTACAAAGGCATCAGGAGCTACAGGTAAATCAAATACTCAAACTTCTCACTTCTGGAGCTTACCAGTATAAAACCAACTACTAGTCTCTTATTGAAAACAAAAAAAAAAGCATGGTAGAATTTACACGTATGCCTGACAAATTTTTGTATTTAACACACTTTCATTTTACCTTTGTAATTGCTCATAAGAAACTTTAATTTTTGATGTCCAACTAAGGTGTAATGCCCCAAATGAAAAAAACAACTTTGCCAGTCCAGGGAAAATCCACTTTGAGGAAATATACCATATATATTTTTCTGCTGGTTAAATATCTATTTGCTCAGATCATAATAACAAAAAAATGTAAAAAGGTTAGTAATATTTTATCTACAGCTCCTTAACTGTTATGGGATTTGAGGATGATCTTTTTGATAGCATTAATGGTAATGATGGGCAAGTTTTATGCACACAAGCTTGATTCTTACATACTTTGAAGTGTGACCTTCACATGCAGTAGCTCCTGCTAACAGATCACTTCCACACGAGCAGATGGGACTGGGTGAGTGGGAGACTCAGAGCAAAGTCTCAGCTATGGACTACCCAGTCAGTACATGACTCATTCACCATTAACCACATCTTGCCTTTCTCCTTCCTGGGCTGTGCCAAGGAAAAATGTGCTCCATATCTCAAATGCTGGTGGGTCCTTGGCTGGGGACCAGAGCACTCTACCACTTCTCCTCCTTGCTCCCAGGAAGGAATTCAAGAGCCATGTAGAGAGCATGGTAGTGCACCTCGCTGTGGTGCCCAACATCCAGCAGTTGCAATGCCAAAAACTACCCGAGCACACCTAAAATGATGTATTTAGAATTCCTCTAGAAACAACCCTGAATAAAACACACATGTACATGGGGGGGTGTACAGAGAACATCTGGCATAACTAAGTTAACCTTTCTGCAGAGCTGTACAGTTTTAAGTTTTGTAACAGTTTTAATCTCTACCAGGACAGTAATGTTGTTAAAAACTGTGTGGTAAGGCCCATACAAAATAAGAGCTTTAGGTGACTTCAATTATATACCAAAGACTAAGGAGAATAGACTTTTATCCCCTTGAAACCAATGCCAAAACATCCCTTAACTCCAATCAGACCAAGCTGGCAAGCAGATTTTAAAAAGTGCAATTACGTTTATTGTTTACTTCAAAAGATCTAGTGACATGACAACTTGAAACTAGGCATATTTTTTTACAAGCCCTAAAAAATAGTGCCTTCCCAAACTAGTTTTATTGTGTCTTAATTGAATTTTCAAATTAATTCCATTGTTTTAACTGTTCAAAAAATAATCCAGATCTGATGGGTTTAGTGGTGGGGTTTTAGACAATGTATTCTTAATACTATATAGCTTAAAGGAAGAATTAATTTAAACAAGATGTATTTTAATAACAGCTGAGGCATCACAATTCTTTAAAACTCTTAATTTAATCTAATAGTTAACCCACAACCGGAGAGGAAAGACCGTCCTAAACTGAGTTGAGGATACTTAAGATTTTGTTGAGAGCTCTGACACAAGAAATTCCAAAATGACATAGGTATTTCTCTGCTGCTTGTCTCCCAGTTGGATAAGGAACTACATTTGTGCCGTGTTTATCTTTTTCACCAGAACAGCACAGCTAGGAATTGTCTAACTGGTGAGGCAACAGCATGGAATAACTTCAGCAGAGGTAGGGATGTGATGACAAAAGTTACCTTTGAGATCCAAAGCCAAGCAGACACCCTTCAGCACTGAAATATGCATGAATCACATGCATGTAGTCTCACAGCTCCTGACTTGTTAGTTTTGCCAGACTGATCCAACTGCGGGATAAAATCGTTGTTTTAGTCTTACAGCAGAGGAGCAACTCAAAAGTCAAGATACTTACCAGAGTTTGAGGGCACTGTATGGAAGATGGAAAGAAAAAACATTTTCTGATGCATTTTACAATGTTTTCTTTGTTGCATTACAGCAATGGTCTTACTGAAAAGATCTCGAACACCTATTTTCAAAGCAGATCGACCTTTCACATTTTTCCTGAGACAAGCTAAGACAGGTATGCATGCTTTGCCTTTCAGGAGCAGAATCCCACACAAGTAACACTGAAATCAATACAAATAACATGCCCTTCTTCAGTACAGAAAACTTCAAACAACCACAGAAACAGTGGGGATTGGGGTTTTAAAGCATATATTTCAATTTCCTTAAAAAGAATGTATAATAGTCATAGAAGTCTAGGAAGCCAGATTAGCCTCTTCTTTGTACATGCAATATGTGCTCAAAAAATTTCTATCAAAGTGACAGGCACTGGAGAGATCTCAGATGCTGAACATTCCAGCATCAGGAACTGATCTCTACAGAGCAATTCAAATTACAAATGGGCCAGACCAGCTGGATTAACATCTGAAGTAGTTAAAATAGAAACCTTTCCCTATAAAGGAAACTTATCCATGCCCATACTGATAGCAAACAGACTTCTGCCAAACAAAAAACATTTCTTTGCAACTGTTAACTCTTTTTGTGTAAATGACCTCTCCTAGACCTCAGACAAAAAACACCCAAAAAACCCAAACGGAACTGCAGAGCATCTCTTGGAGTGAAGAATCACAGTGCTCCTTTAGCTTCAGTAGTGAATTATAAGTCTCATTTCAGATGTCCAATCCCATTAAGTTACTCCAGAATGTCTGCCAAAAGAAAACACCCTATAGCTTGTTGGCAATAATAAAGAACTGCATAATTCACAATTTAGCAGGTATTTGCTACTCTGAAGCATCAGGCCAATATCCAACAACTCTCATAATTCTTAACAATGCAGTAATTTTGCACCTGAAGTACTTTCCTAAAAATCGTTCAAACCACCACATTTCTCTCATAACTGGGGTCACAGACATTTAGATTTTCAAGGAACATACAGACATTTATAGGGTTCAGTAAAAAACTGGTGCCTAGCACAAAGACAGAAATTTCCCTTATCTCCTTCCAAGAATCACACACCGTGCTCTTGGTCAGTGAATACCTGTGTATGCAACATTTTGTTTTAAAAACCCATATCATGATTTTTGACCACAGTGCAAGCATCCAAAGAGAAAATTACTGCCTTGCTCGGAATTTTGTTTTAAATATGCTTTGGCAATCATTACCAGTCAATGGATAAAAGTATTTTACTTGGCAAATGCAGAATTTTAAAATAAAAAGGCATTAATAAACTCACCTATGAAACATAAGTCACAGACTCTTCAAGATTAAGAACAAACTAACTTAGGGGAATAAAATGGTCGGTTTACAGCATATATAAATTATATAAAGAGGAAGGAAATCAGATTGTAAAGCAGGATTTTCATGTGAAGCATAAAATACATACCTTCCGATCAACTCAAAATCAAAAATATATTTCCATAACTCCTGCTTTTTAATGCAAAAAGTGAAAACATTCAGTCATTTTGTTTATTCAGACTTAGTGATTCAAGTTTTTGAGGTATAGAAAGTTTGAACAAACAAAACCTATTTTTCATCCACCTGTCTAAAAGTGCTTAAAACTTCTATGCCCATAAAGTTCTTAATGAATCATTATATAGACCAAAAGTATTCATTGCATCAATTTTCTAGTAATAGCAGAAATATGTTTTCCAATACTTAAAATAGCATAGTTCTGCTCAAAATAATTGAAAAGTTTTAGCGTTTTTAAATCTGAATTTCAGGTTTAAGCACATTGCCTTTGAAGAACAGACAAGGTAATAACATTACAAATAACCAAACAAATCCAGTCAATCTGAGGCAGTCATTTAAGTCTCTTCTGTAACTAAAATATGAACACAAAGCAATGAACTTCAGTTCTGTTTTGCTCAGTGAAAGTTTCAGCTTTTGACAGGTTCCTGGTTTGGGCTACACCAGTTATTTGGAAAGACTTTTCTAATACAGAAATGTTTAATTATTTTAAGACAAGCATGCAATTGCAGTCAGTTTTTCCATATAAGCAATAAATGACCTGCTAATTCCATACCTAAATTACGTATTTAAACTATACTACACTTAGAAAATGTGGCCCCAAACTGAAATAATGTTAATGTTGTTTTCATTTACAGGTTCGGTACTTTTTATAGGAAGAGTTACAAATCCTTCACAATAAGCACTAAATGCATACCCTGACTTCTGCTCCTCCTATGATGAGCTTTCCTCCAATGAAATTAAAGGCTACATTGTATTTATTAAAACACAATTTTAAACAAAAATTTAAAACACAATTTTTTCACTTTTCCAAGAATCTCCACTACCTTATTACATTGTTGAAATTTAGAGCTGTCTACGAATCATCAGCACCACAACTACAGCAAAGACAGTATCCAAATAAACATTTACAAAAAAAAAAAAAAAAAAACAGAAATGGTTTAGCCTCCTAAATGTTTAACAGTATGAGCCAACAGCTTCTCTTCAACTTTACCATGGCTAAAGTCAGTTTGACTGTTGCTGAGTATGCAGGTCACTTGAATGAAAACAACCCACAAGAAAGCTTTGTGATATTTTTCAAGCACAATTTTATTTCCCTGTCCTGAAGTCAAAAGCTTAAGAATAAAACTGAAATTCAGTCTGACCTGAGACAATTATAACCCAGCTGATATAGAAGGTAACAAGCAAGCAGCAAAATGTTGTGAGAAGAAAATCAAGTTTAAAGGCTGTTTCAAAACTGAGACAGAACCACAGAATCATTAAGGTTGGAAAATACCTCTCAAATCATGAAATCCAACCATTAACTCAGCACTGCCAAGTCCACCACTAAACCAAGTCCTTTAACACCACACCTACACATTTTTGAACCCTTCCAGGGATGGCGATTCTACCATTTGCCAGGGCAGCCTGTTCCACACAGAGCAGGTAAGAAGCAGAAATACCCACTCAGTGACCAAACAAATACTGCTAAAAGAGGTAGCAGTACTACCTCTACTGCCTTTGAAGTGTAGACAACATAGAACAGGTATTACAGAAGAACATTGAATGTGACTACTGGCATCATGAAAAATGGGAGGGGTGGTTTTCAGCATCCTCACAAAAGTTGGGCTATGACAAGTGTTCAGGAACTCATGGCACAACCATCAGAAACCCAGGCCCACGAAGATTTTGGGTGAAGACTGCAAACCACTGACTCCCAAGAAAAGCATCAGAGAGGACTGTTTTATTCAGCTCCCTTTGAATCAAACAAAGCCTTGCAGATAACCCAGAGCATCCACCACAGCTGAAAGATGTGGCCAGTAAAGCAATCAGTGATAATTTGTGTTCAGACAGGAGCACTCTGTGGCTGTTCCCGCACTTGTAAACATGTAAAATTCTGTCACAGAAAACCTCCACGCAGCCTAGCTCAAAGGCTACTGAACCCTGTTTTACTGCACTGTATACCTCAATAAAACTGCAGGGCTTGTCATGGCTGCAGATGTGCTTACAAAACATCACTTTGTTATGCTGGTCACCAAAAGTGCAAAGCACACAAGATATCCTACTGTAACTGCAATTCAGCATTAGTGCTCTTTCACTCATTCTCTAATTAGGAGCAGAATATCCAGTGATACAAAACCACTCTTCCTTCTTTAACACTGATAGCAAAACACAGAAGGCTCTGGGATGGCAAAACAAATAATTTCAATAAAAACTGTACTCAAACCTACACAAAGATTAAAATAGAGATTTTATTGATGGAATAACAAAAGTGCTTTTCTTAAATATTTTTCAAAATACATTTATACAACTTACAATAATATATCCAAAATAACTGTATATACAAAACATTACCTTGTTTAATGTATGTGCTTTTTTTTTTCTTTGAAAATTACAAAGCAACTTTTTGGCAAAGTTCAACCTTAAGAGGTGATAGCTTTGAGAAGGTTAGATTAAGAAAAATAGAACCTGAGGGAAAGTGACACTTATGTCCATGACAAGCAAGAAGTTCTCACTTTAAATAAAAATGTTTTTGTTGTATTTTTCACATTACAAAAATAACAGAAGTGAAGAAAAAAAAAGGATGATTGATACTTTTCATCATTTAATTGAGCAGCTTCTCATTCTTTCAGGTACAGGAACTTGAGATAAGAGTGCATGTCAAAAATGAATGCAAGGAAGAACAGCAGTGTCCTGCTGTGGCTCTCATGTGCAGTTTCTTAGCTGCTCTTGATATGGTTGACCTGATTGGATCTGCGATGGATTTCTTCCAGAAAACTCTCGAGCTGTTCTATCAGCATTCGTTTTTTAAACCTGGATTTAAAAGAAAGCATTATGATGGATGCACAAAGTAGTACATGAAACATCATTGACAAAACTTTAACTGAACTCTGGAAATGTCAATTATTACTTCAGGAGCAGTGCATGATGAGGTCTACACATACCTCATTTATATACATACACTGTCTCCTAACATTCTGGTAAACCACTAACTTGCTCTTTCATTTGCTGAATACAAAACTACATTTATGAGAGTTTATAGCTAAACATCACTCAGCTCTCAGAAATTCAGGAAAAAGACAAGAGTTTGTTGCTTCCAGAAGTGAAGCTCTGAAGCACAGAAATAAAATATACATCAAAAGAACTATGATCCTAAAGATGGCAAACTGCTTTTAGGGATTATTTGCATGTCTTCATGATGCATTCATCCAAGTTAACAAAGTTGGTACTGGTGGAAGAACTGTCATTAAAAGTGCGAAGCAGATCTCCTGACAAACAACACAAATTAAAACTTGGAAAAAAAAATAAAAGGAAAATACAGGCATCCAAACTCCATACCTCTGGAGTCTCTACAGCTCTATTCCATTAGTTGTATAAATTTGATCAGTTGGCCATTCTGTCACCTCTGCTCACGCCACCTCAGGAAGTATAACTCCTAGCTGTTTCCAGCTAACCCCTCCCCCTTGCAACATTTCTGCACCTCTGAGAAGCCACTTCTGACCAAGGCTTTGGTAGCCATATGTGCATTCAAATACGGCAGCAATTAAAATATTTTGAACAATATCCCAAATTCAAGTCCTGTGACTTCACTAAACCCCAGCAGAACCCCTCTAGGTTCCAGTCAGGCATCCTGGTCCACACCCTTGGCTCACAGAGACATGGTACCTTTCCAGATCACAAGCTTCCCCACAATCCCTGATGCAACCACTGCCAAATTTTGTAGATTTGTCAACTAAAGACAGCTGGAATAAAGAGACTGTGCAAGAGAAATGAGAGCTACAGGTGATCTTAAAGGCCTAATTTTACAGCACAAAAATTCCAACCCCACTAAGGGCTGCCACAAACTCCAAGAGCAAGAGTATTGTTATGCTGTGCTATGACAGAGAGGAAGAATATATAATTCACAACATACAGAGCAACTCTGACAGGCAATGTAACAATCAAGCAAAAGCACAATACAGCAATGGTTGCTATAAGAAGAGCACAATCTACATAACTTTACATGCCCCACCAAGCTGGCTAGAAGGCTAGAGGGTCTGTATGAATGTCCAACATCCAGCATACCTTGAGAAGCATGGCTTTCTCCAAAAATTTTGTTTTTAATAATGAAATTTGCTTAATGCCACAGGAAAAGAGCTGACTACAACAAAACAGAATAAGAAGCAGCTATTCTTTGAGGTTGCTCAATGTTCTGGTTATATTTATGATCCATTCAAGATCCTAGAATTACTCATTCCTTGCAACTCAAACACTATTGGTTCCAATACATTTCTCCTTTTTTCCTCTCAGTAAGCATGTAGAAGGCTAAGTACAGACAGTCTAAAGATACTGTAAAGAACAGTTTCTACCTGGATGAAAAACACAGGGTTTAAATCCTTATCAAGTCACTCTTCTTCAGAGAAAAGCCACCTCCATTTCCAAAGTCTCAGACAGGACTACGCTATCTCTGAATGAAGTATGCTGAAGAGTAGAGACATATCTTTATGAGCATACCTGAATTTAAAAACTATTTTTAGGAGAAGATTTTTAGCTGATGCCGTTTCTAAAAGCCTAATTCCCAGTAACTGGCAGCTCCATTGTATTTTTCAAATTAGCAGTACATTCACCTGAGCTTTTCAATTGGAATGATTTTTTTTAAAGTTACCTTCTCTTTCTATACCATTGTCCATCTACATTTACAGGGATTTGGCAGTTACAGTTACTAACATTTTTAAGCCAAAATCCAAGGGAAAAAGGTAAGCTTTTATAAACAACACCTCAAGAAGCTTATGCATTTCTGCTCTTTCATGGGGAATTATTTACTTGCAGTGCAAAGCATTGTTTTCAAACAATTGCGTGATTGTCCAGCAGTTATACATGGTACAACATGGTGCAGCTCTGTAAGAATAATACAATCCTGTTACCTACCTTGAAGCTTCTTTTATAACATTCTGTAAAAATACCAGTCGGGTTTGTAAGCTTCCTTGTACATGCTTCAGTAAAAAGAAGATTCTTTCATACTCTTAAAGATCAAGAGAATAGAAACATCAGTTATTTAAAAGATGCCTGCAGACAGCTGTTGTAATAGATTTGAGTGAAATGCAACATTCAATTTTTGTAAACTTTAAAGCTGCATCTCCTATCAACTGAAGCAAGAACATCTTATTTAATGAGAACCAATATTAAACATGTGATATTGAAGCTTAGGATATTACTAACACCTATCAAGCTAATTCTAGTATTGACATAAAAACCATGACTTCCATGAACACTGATAGGTATAGCAATGTTTTCATCACTCCTTCAGTAAGTTTTTAGCAGAGATTTTAAAACAAATCTTTTCAGCTTTAAATTTAATTTTGCTTCAGTCTAATTGTCCAGTACACTTCTAAAATAGTGATTTAACATTAATTCTTTGTTTAACTCTCATGCCAATTACCTGAAAGAAATTCAGTATACTTACTCCTTCCTGGTTTTCGGATCTCTTTCATAATTTGTGCTCTTAGCTCTATATTAATCTCTCTGGAACTCCTGCAGTGCACAGGCTTTTTCCCTTTGCTAGGTGAAGACATCGTCAAGTTCTCTTCTGGACTTTGCTCTTTACTACCTGATTCCTCATGATTCTCCAAAAACCCATCAACGTTCAAATTGTTCCCTAAATGTTCATGGCCTACATCCTCTGCATGAGCTGTTGGTTGATCCAATGAATTGAATGGTGAAGAGGACAGTGAAAACTCTGAATCCACAGCATTTGGGAAAACATCTGATGAAAGGGAGTCCATACTGTGATTCTCAATGACATCAACTCCAACTTCATTATTTATTTCTGATGCTGAAAAAACAAAAATTACACTTGCCAAGTTCAAATTCCTTATCATCTCATACAAGTAAATGAGTCAGATCAACATTAGACTCTTAAAACTATCCTCCAGCTCATACAGTCTACAGTACATACCAGGCATAAGAAAACTT